CAATTAAAAAAATTAAAGAATATAAAATTCAAATATAGAAAAAACCCTAAATTAAAATTGACTAAATTCTACAATCATTACACATATGTACATACAACCAATTGTAAGATTATCTTGACAAAGAAATTCAAAGGAAATTTTCGAAGCCACTATAATTTATTCAGGGATTTTTTTTCTTTTTTCTTCTGGGTTGAATGATAAATGATATTTTCGATTCAAATTAAGGCATAAGTTGAGATTAAATTTTATTTTTAAATAATTTTATTAATAATTTGTAAAACCTTCTACTCGCTATATTACAACTTAGAAGCTACAAATAGTTTCAGAGCAAGAGGCAGCCCATTTTCAGTCCATGGGCCATTGCAAATCATAATCCTACCCTCACAGAAGTCAACTGGTGTTTCTTTGTGTGTGATTTTAAGGCCCATTAGAGAGTTGTGCTTATTTGTGGATTTTTAAGGATAAATTACCCTTTTTTTTTTCATTTAGGAAAAGGTTTCTCTCCACGGTCCATAAGGATTAAAAATTCAATGGTTAAAAGCTTTTATGTAATTTTGATTTTGTATTAATTTTTTATCTTTATTTTTATATATCTTAATATCTTTTTTTAATTTTAAAATTTTTTTTATTGGATTTTTTATTTAACAAGAAATTAAGATAGTCTTTCCATTATCAATAACCTCCATCACATATTACACGTGTCAAAATCCATTTTTATTTAATTTTTTCCTCCCTCCCTCCCTCCCTCCCCCCTCCCACACAACTGCTGAAAATGCCATGGCTGCCACCTGCTTTTTCTCTTCACGTCACCAAACTTACTCCAAAAAAGTATATTCCTTCGCTCACTATTCTACAAACAAATGTAAAAGCAACAACAAAACGTAAAAAGATTCCCAAACTAACAATAATAAAAGCTACCCTGATCCATATTAGAATTTTTTTTTTTTTTTGACTAATTTCATTTTTTTTGTCATGAACTAATTTTTTTACTGCGTTGCAGCTGCGAATCGAACAAAATATATAAAATTATTTTATTTTGATGTCTCGTGTTATATTGTATATCTACAAAAATATATCAAATCAAAACTTAATAAAAATTCATTCAATTTTATCGTTTTTTAATTAAAATTTTGTATTTGACTGATTATTCTTTGTATTTTCATAATTTTTTTAATTAAAAAACATTATTTATTTATCTCTAATCTCATTTTTAGCTAAAAACTTATTTTGTAAATTTTTTTCTAAGCATTCTTTTCCCTTAAAATTTTTAATTAAAAAATAAAAAAAAGTAAGGACCAAAATGATCAAAATGAAGCAAAAAGTGAGAACAAAATTAAATAAAAAAATATTTATGGATTAAAAACATAATATTTAAAAAAGAAGGACTAAAGTGTAATGTCACAAAAAAATTCATAATAAATGTCTTAAAAATATTTGAAAACTATAAAAATGTCATTGCATAGTGAAAGTATTAGTGCATTTGGGTGAATAGTGTGAATGAGCTTGGGTGAACGAGTGTTTCAAATAATGCAGTGAATAGTAACCAATGGTTTTAGTTTAATTTTTTTGTAATGGGAGGATGAGAATAAAAGTGAGAACGCTTATTGTAATAACTCATCCTAAAATAATATTCAAGTTAGTAATTAAAAAATAATAAATAAATAAAATCGAGTCAGCGTATAAAAGGGGACAACGAGATGTCCCTCTCTATTTTTCTTTCTTCTTTCCCTTCTCTCTCACACGGCTCTCTTTAAATTTTTTCCCATTTCCCTTTTTCAAATCCTAAGCTAAGACTTTGTTAAATTGGCTTAAAAAAACATAAACTAGTTGATTAGGTGAAGTTTAGTTGGATTGAAGCTTGGAAAGCTTGAAGAGTTAGGATTGAAATTTGGATTGAGGACCTAATTGTCAAAGGTAAGAAATAATTTAATCATTTAATCTTTAAATTGGAATGTTTATATGCGGTTATTGATGATTTGGGAGTTAGATTGCATTTGGGTTTGGTATTTGAATGAAAAATTGAGTTAGATTAATGTTAGGGTTTGAGACCCATTTGGAAAAAAATTGATTAAGTGATTTTAATTGATTAAATGATGTTTAATTATCTTGGGTTTAGTTGTTTATGAAGTTAATTTGAAGTAGAATGGAGTAAATTTGATTAATTAAGAAGTTGAAGATGATGAATAGTAAAAAAATCCAAAATATGGGCTTTGAATTGAAAATTTTTTAGGAAAATTGAAGAATTGAGTTATATGAATAAATTAAAGATGAATGAAAAGAGTATTGAGTAAATTAGAATGGAATTAATGAATTAATTGAAAATTTATTGTTTAAAGGTTTGAATTGAATTTGAGAAAAGATGGCATGTATGAAGGTTGATTGAATTGAGAATTAATGATGGATAATTAGATTGTTAGAGAGGTTATAGAGTTTAGTTAAATTCATATTATGAGTCTTCTGATCAATCTTCATTCTTATAGATAATCTTGTATTCCTATTTCTAGAATAATTTATTTGTTTTGAATTATTATTTGATATGTGATATTGATAGTTATTCTATTATCTTATGTTATTAGATTCCTCGAAGCGGACGACTCCATCTTAGCAACCTTTATTTCGTTCGATTTTTCGTTTGTATTGTGATTGGATATTATATAGCATATTATGCTTTGAAATTTCTTTAATTATGTCTATCATGCATCATTGGTTTAAGTATAATTTAATTATATTCCTTAGAACTTAGACACGAACGGACCACTTGTGTCTTTGAAATGATTTCATATCGAAAGTGATTTGATATGATTTAAAAAAGGATTTGAACTTATGTTTGAACATGTGTTTTGTTTATGGTTTGATGTGAAATTATGAATTTTAATTTTAATTTTCTTTAGACTACTAAATTTGATTATTCGTATAATTTTGGTTAAAATTTATTTGATATTGAATTGTGTTATCAATCTAATTTTGAGCATGCATTGTTTTGATATACTTGAATTTGAGTATATTGGAATATGTATAAGCCTATATGGTTTTTGATATGTTTTCGTGACCTTGAGGTACGTAGTTACGGGAGGCGTAGCCTTTGAGCTCAATGATACGAGGCTTCGACTAGCAAAAAAGTAGAGTGTTAGCCCATGTGTCGACCAACATACGAAAACCTAATCATGAGAGACATGGGTGTTCGCATCCAATGATACGTTATATTTTTACTCCAAGGGTAAATAAACCTAGATATGTGGTTTGATTTGATTACGATATATATGTATATATATTTCAATGATTTGATATGAATTTATTTTGAATCATTTTAAGTTACAATATACGATTTGGTACTTATAATATACATTTGTTTTGGGGAAACAAGCATTACATCTTGAGTTGAATTTTAAGTTATTATTCTTAGTCTATTTTCCTCCTTTAGATATGTTCTATAGTATCTACTCATTGAGCCGTTGATTTGCTTTACCCTCCACAATTTCAATTTTGCATGGTTTGTGACGGTGCTCTTTTAGCATCCATTCAACTACTTATCTTAAAGTTGACACATTGATCGTGCGACTTATTTAATTATAATCTCTTAGAATCCGTGTTTAATTTTGTTATAATTCTTAAAAAATCTGCAGTTATAACTTATAAGAGTTGTATTAGAATTTGATCATGGATATTTTTAAACATTGTGATATTAATTAGTTAAAATGATGATTATGGATGATAAATGAAATGATGTTTATGTAATATAAGTTTGAGAATTATAGTTAGATATTCGAGGCTTGCTTGAGTTGAGGTGGGCCTCGGGTTTCTTCATTTCTCGTATTGGTCATGGCCTACTTTGGGAGTCATGACACTTATACACCCTTAAGAGCCATAGCAAAAAGAAAATAGTTATGGGAGACTAATGATCATAATCCCCAAGTTTACTTAGTCTTTTTTTTTTTTCCAAAGTTAGTTTTGTATATCGATACCAAAAGATGTTCAATTTGTGTAGGCATTTAATTGTTAACACATAGAAAATAAATTCTTTGATCCAAAAAGACAAACTATTTAAAAAGTCATTTCCTTTTGTAAGCATTTTTTTGTTTTTGTTTTTTTGTAAAGAGATAGAAGAAGAACGAGGAAGAAGGAAAAAAAAAAAAAAGAACGAGAAAGAAGTAAACAAAAATAGGTCCGAACACATGTCAACATATCATAGCTTATATGAGATAAGGACCCAACCAATGGGACTTAAAAAAAAAAAGAGATATTAAAATAAATAAAAATAAAGAGAAGAAACTCGTATGTGTAAAAGTTTTTAACCAAAAATTATGTTAGGAAACAAATCAATCAAAAGAATATAGTAGAAAAACAAGCATAATCACACAACAAAGATTTTGCGTGGTTCGATAATAATGCTTACTCTATGGCTACACAAAGAATTCTTATTAGGATTTATCAAATGACAATTAAAAATACAAGTGATGTTGCTTTTATTTATGTGTGGACAATTAAGGTTATTAGAAAAAAAGGCCTAACAAGCTTATACATCCGGCCCAATATTCTATAGATCTTTCGAAAGCTCCACCTCCGAGCCTCCACAAAGAGCGTTCCCCCTTGATCCTTGTTCACTAATCAGCTAGTAAGACCTTCGTGCTGAATCAATATAGCGTTTTATATTGCGAGCCCCAATCCACATCGGTCTCTACAACTTAGTAAATTCATAGACCATCAAAGTGATAAATATTGGTTTCGGATTACTTGATATCGAACAAAATGACTTGTAAATAATTTAGTTTCAAGCTTTTTGATAACCTTCGAGGATTTATCTCTTTTTTTTTCTAGATTTTTTAAGGATTTATCTTGATTTTGGTGTTGCCACATGTTTTTTTAGTTGATAAAATTAAGAGTAAAAAAAATTAGACATTAGCATTTGCTTAAAAAAACAAATTAATTATATAATTATTATTATCAAACTCTTCTATAACAAAAATAATGAAACTTTAATGTCAAAAGAAGATTTGAACCCGTTACCTCTTACAAGAGACCATTATCATTAGGCTACAAGCTGTTTGATCTTTGGGAACTTTTTGATCATCAACATCCTTCTTAGATTTGGCTTGAGCGCCTCGATTATTAGGAGCCTTAGAATCAACTTTAGCAATATCTCGATTATCAAAAGCAAAGGTGTTTGCTCGAGCTCCTTCTTGATTATCAGAGGTACTATGAGAATCTGCTTTGGCAACCTCTTCAGTATCAAGACCCATAGAGTCGACTTCTATGCCCTTTTCATTAGAAGGTCTGGTAGGTGGCTCAACAACAGGCGTAGTAGAAATGGTGTCTGCTCTAGCAGCTTCTTGATTATCAAAAGTTTGAGAGCTTGCTTTGGCAACTTCTTCATTAACAGGAGCCTTAGAGTGCTTGTCACTAGAAACTACAGTAGTTGATTCAACAATAACCATAGACCTTGAACTAACAGGTAGCTTTTTTTATGCAGCATCTCCAGTTCTCATGGTTGTCATTTTCGAAGACTTTAACAACTATTGCACTCGGGACTACATATGTTTCCATGTTTAAAATTTTTCTACAGATATCTACAGGTCAGGGGATAACAAGCACTGATACATTAATTACTGCAAAATAACTGGAAGTTACAGTAATATTCTCATGAGAAATTACTGATTACTGAAGGAGTAAAGGCTGTTAGTCACCTAATTGAATGGCAACAAAATATTTCCCAACTAATATTTGCTTCTGATCTTTGATGCTAGCTAGATTAGCCATTATCACTTATGGCCAAATTTTCATGTAATGACTCAGAAAAAAATATTGTAGTAGCCCCCTAATCCTAGTTTCGAACTGTGATGGGTTAGAAATATGGCTAATCCCCTGAATATTCTTGATGAATTAATCCCACCCCAAAGTTAATGCTCAAGTGATTGCTCCAAAATCAAGAGACACGACAATGTTAGTGTATCGATATTCATGCTTTAATGCAAATTTCGCTATGAGCAAAACAAAATAAGCAAAATAATCTACTTACAATATTATAGGAGCACACCTAAGAGAAAGTATTCCCTCCTCCTGAACTCCCCAGTTTATAGCTGGCCAAATTTATTTTGCTAATGAAGATCAAGAACATAATTATGAGAATATAAAATAAACAAATGACTACTATTGGCGTAGTGGTGTAGGTATTTCTTTAAGAAAGAGGGTGTATTAGAGATTAATATAAATTATATTCTAGAATCTTACTTATCGGTTTAAGCTTGTAGGTGCGATGATCGTTTGACAGATTCAAAACAATAACAATTTAAGACATTGATGCCGTATTTAGGAATGATCTTATACATATATTTTTTTTAATAGAGATCGACAAGATTGAGTCATACCAATATATTGATTTGAGGGTAACAACGAAATATGCTGCATATGGAAGACTCAATTCAAATCAATTATGTCTTATTTCTGAATATTTTTGTAATTAGATAGTTTATTAAGGCTCAATCAATTTTTCAAAAAAAAAAAAAATGAATAAGTTTGAAATATTCACCTTATATCATTGTCGTTCTTTTTGCATCTAAAGAGATGCACCAGAGATCCGAGCTAGTTGAGAAGAAGGTGATAATTTTGCTGCCAAATGCAACATTGTATTTCCTGAGCTATCTATAAGGGAAACAAATCCTCCTCTGCTTGCTTCACCAAAGAAAAAGCTCAACTCTTTTTCTTGAATATATGCAATTGAGGACATAAATAGGTTTCTTGAATTGTCATCCCCATTACCCTTTACATGAGGACAAGCTTTAACCACCTCAATAATAAACTCAACAATCCCATTTTCCACAGGATTGTAGAATTATTTTCGGAATAAAGGTGGATTTTCTTTAAATCATATATTTGCTTGATTTCTAGATAAATAATTAAAGAGTGATCAAATAAAACCATGCATGATATATAATTAATGGTGATAGAAATTAAAAAAAAAAAAAAGTGGATATTGCTTATACCTAAGAATGTAAGGAGATTTATAGCAAGCCCACGTCATTGACTTAATTTCGTATAATAATGATAAGATATTCCAAAATAATGACATAATATTTTGTATTCATTATTAAGTAATTTTCGTTATTATTGTCTCTCAAGTTGGAGCATGTAGAGTAAAAATGTCCAACTTATGTAGAGAGGTGTGAAAATGATCACGTCCAAAGACCTTGGTAAAAGTATCAGCTAGTTAGTACTGAGTATAAATCAAGAAAGGTAGTACTAGCTATGACTGGATGTTTTGCCAAATAAAATTACAATCGATCTTCATATGTTTGATACGTTTGTAAAAAACAAGATTGACGGCAATATAAAAAGCAGTTTGATTGTTGTAAAAGAGAGAAATATGATTAGGGTGAGGAATGCCCAAATTAAAAAGTAAGCTCACAAACCAAACAATCTCACTAGCAGTGATTGCCATAGACCTATAATCAGCTTCGGCCGTCGAACGGGAGACAACAAATTGTGTTTTAGATTGCCAAGAAAATAGAGAAGAATCTAGAAACACTATATGACCAATGATAGTCCGACGAGCAACTGAACAGCCAGCCCTCGGCATCACAATATCCATCTAAGGTCAATGAACTATCAGAAGAAACATAACTTCTTGTCCAAAAGCACCCTTAAGATGGCAAAAAGCCTTGATAACAGCATCAAAATGTGTCTATTATAGCCTGTGGTAGCCATGATTTTCTTGTAATAATGAAAATTATTTTATAATCAATTCAAAATATTATGTCATTATTGTAGAATATTTTGTATTAATTATAAAATAATTTCTATTATTACAAGAAAATTTAAAAACATAAAAACTAAATAATTAATTTTTAAAATAAAAGGATTAATTATTATTATTATTATTTATTTTTCTTGAACAGCTAGAGGAACTTATTTATAAGTTACTCTGAATATTATTAAATCGGGTCCAAATAATGACCAGGTCAAGAGATTGGGTCATTAGGCTTGTGGGTTAACTAGCTAGTGGGTCAATGGTGGATTGTTGGATCAATCACTTATATATTCCTACTTTCCAAAAAGCTTATTCTCTTTATATATATCAAAATATCTTTTTAGCCAAAATATTAAATAATGTATTTTCTTAAAATATCTCTAATTGATAAAAAAAAAAAATCAATTCTTTCATCCATTTCTTGTTATTCCATTAAACTTGATCGTTAATTAGTTTAATAATTTTTTTGTTTAACACTTTAATTCTACCTTAATTTTGAATATTTTTTCTCCTTAAATTAATATTGATTTTATGTAATGCGAATTAAATTTTATAACTAATATTTTTTACAAAAAAAAATATTTTTAAAAAGTATGAATAAAAAAATACTAATATAACATTACAATTAAGAATTTTTTAAGCAGTGTGAAAATAAAATGTAAAACGAACAAATCTCTTTGGAAGGAAATTTTTTTTCCTCTTTTGCTAATTCAATTATTGATATAGTTAAAATATTAAAAATATTATGTCGTTTAAATTAATTAAATTATATTTATTAACCGATATGTGTACATGCATGGCTATTGTTAATCTTGGCTGATTCAACTTAAAAAAAAAATGAAGAAACTGGCACTAATGTCCAAAAGCAAAATTAGTAGTCGTAATTATTGGAACGATAATTATTATTTGCTGCAAGCCAATTAAGTACGTAGTAGTAAATCTACTAAAGAAATATTTCATTTTCCTAAAGCAAATTCCTGACAATGGCAGCAGTAACAACTGAAATGTCATGGACCAATTTATTCGAAGCGGTTATGGGTGAGCTGCCTTTGAAACCCCCTTCACATAAATCAGCCTCAAGAGCAGCATCATTTGCACCACTTTCAGCAAATTTAGGGTTACCCTTCTGCAAAGCTTCAGTAGCTTGAGGGATATCACCTGTCAAAATTGCATTATATTTGCTAGCACAAGAAGTCAAAGGTTGCTTTAACGCTGGACTCTCTTTAAGCTTCTGGTTGATGAGGTTTAGTGTTGAGGTAGATTTAGCCTTCAGTACACCCACCATTATGAGTGCTAGCCCATTTATATCTGCTGTTGAGCTTTTAGGGTCTGACTGAAGAGAAGTGACACAGATATTGAAGTTTGGTGTCCTCTTGCATATTTGTTGGATCAAATTGGCATCAGATTGGACAATATTACACTGGCTTACAAAAAGTAAAAGGGTCGCGATAGAAAGAAACATGAACCTTGTGGACATGAAATTCTTCATCATTGTGGGAATTAGGATATTTCTTTTTGGGGTAGAGGAGAAATCTGGTTTGTACTAGTGCCAATTGGTAGGGATTACTGATATTCTGCCTAGTGATAATTATTGGAGAAGATTGGTTCTTTTATAGGTGTTAAAGGCTTCAGGGAGCAGGCAGGGAAATATGAAATAAACGTTCCATTTTCTTAATTCCACAATTAAATGATAACATTTGTCAGTGGCATTCGAAAAGCTATTTCCTTCTTAGAAAAACAATTAAATTAGGACAACAATTTACTTGACTTCCTTATTTGGGAAAACAATTACTTCTATTTCAATACCAATCAGAATCTCAATATGCTCACGAAGGAAATTTTACGTTACTCATTGACTAACTATAACAATATTTACTTTATATATAGGATTATTATTCCATACTAGGATGCTTTTAAATTATTATTTTTTTTTTTACCAAAACAAGGTACGTAGTTTTAAAATTATTTCCAAAACTAGGGTATTTTATGCCATTTAGGAGTTATTTATCCATGTCTTTTCTTTCTTACTTAACTAATTTTTTTTTTAAAGGTAAGCATTAATAAAATTAAACGTATAAATTGATATAATTGGAAAGTAGCTGTTAAAGGCAATACAATATTCCTATATCAATAGACATATATATTCTTAGTTTTTTTTTTTTTTTTCCAAATAAGGCATTTTATATCTTTATTCCTTTAAACTTATACGTATTTCTGTGTTCAGATCATGTAGACATACATCTCAGTATTATTTTAATTTTTTATTGTTAATTTTATTCTTATAAAACCAAAGAAAATAAACTTTTAAAGATCATATCTACAACGCTCTGACTAGTTCTAGGATTCGCACTTTTAGAGATGAAGATGTTAAAGGAGAAATAAATATTTTTGTCCATATATTCAGATAGGAATTTATCGTTTTTCAAGGTTTATATTGCATATATCGTGGGAATGGAAAGAATAGAGAATTTGGACAATATACTTTTTTGGAAAGAAAAAAACAATTACTAAAACGTAGATTGTTAACAGCTAACTCATGGACGGTTACTTACAAACATATTTCATAAATCATAAGATAGGAATTAAACCACTTTTGAAACAAAGAGACTTATTCAAAAAATTACTGAAGCATTGGTGCTCATCCATTTATAGAGGATGATTAAGCACACTAATCAAGTTTTTCTGGGTAAAAACTATTAATCGAGTGCAATAACGCTTACAACTTTTCAAATTTCTTTCCTGCATGCCATTCGTTAATTAATTTTTATAATTCACTTATTGATATAGTTAAATATTAAAAACTTAATTAATTAAATTATATGTATTATTTACTTCATAGTTTTTAAATTATATGCTAAAAAAAGTATCAAGTAATTTATATTCATGATGTCTATTGTAATTTGTTGAAACAATAGTTAATCAATGAAGTAAAAAAAATGCAAGTAGTAAGAGATATGAAAGGAGAAGCGAAAAATACTAATAAAACTCGTAAAACGCAAGTTAACTGATTGGTAGGTGGCTGGTGAGTGAAAAAGATTTGAGAGATGGAGAGTTTATGGGTTTTTATTTGCGAGCAAAAAGTGGGAATTAAAAAGTTAGAATCTCCCCTTCACAATGATGTGATATTGATATTTATAGTGAAAAGATGTTGATTTTTAACTCGTTTGAATCTTGTCATGTCATTTAAATGACAAATTTAAATAGTGAGATTTAAATCGAAAAAATTTGATTTCTTGGATTTAAATTAACTCGCTTCAACTTATTAGCAAAAATTAAAATAAATAACAATTGAGTTTTTATTGTAGAAAAATTTATTTTGAACCCACTAAACTATTCTTCCTAATAATCTAAAAAATAAAATATGGACACTAGTTTTGTTAGAATATCCGTGTTGATTCTTGCATGGCTCAAAACTTTATGTATGAAGCACATCCTTTGTCCAATCTATTTATTAGGTATGAAGCACATCCTTTGTCCAATCTATTTATTAGGCATCTTGTATCCATATAAAATAATAATAATAATAATAATAGTTATCGCTACTCGACATTAGATGAGACTTACGAAAAAAATCTAATTTAAGATTTAGATTTATTTATAGAATTATTTACAAATTTGGAGTTGCCACCTAATATTGAAGGACTTATGAACCTAAAATGGACAATAATTCGGAGATTGCGTGGTAAGAAATTGGTTACGCTTTTGGAAGATATTTAATCATCCAAAAACACCCTTTCCTTGGTTTAATCTTAAACTCATTTCCTAAAATGCTTTATTTGTGCCGAATTATTTTTCTATTTAAAACTCTAATTTTTCAAGCCAAATTAATTTTTTTATTTTTAAGTACGGCATCGTACCGAAACGATCGTCGGACTCCTTCATCGAGAGACATATTAGTTCGAACATCGGATCCACTTTCCGAGTCTCGACACAAGCGGTGTATAAGAGAACGACCTTATAACAATAGTAATAACAATAATAATAACAACATGAATTACCACATAATAAAAACTCAATTACTTACTTATTTCTAAAAAAAATAAAGAATAAATAAATTAAAGGACTTGGCTTCTTAGGAACTATTGCACGTCGGACCCCTTGACAAAGGCCTCTACCTTGTTCCGTTAGTAAAAATTCATAAACTCGTATTTTCCTTTATCTAATTATAAGGGCAAGGCTTCATTAGAATTAATATGTTCCGATCTTTGGGGACCCTCTCATGTCCTACAATAGATTATTATTCGTATTATGTTATATTTTATAACCATTACAATAAGTATTGTTGGTTATTATTATTTTTTTTGTTACAAATTAGAAGTTCTCAATCTGTTTTATAAAATTGAAACACATTGTCGAAATTTTTTTTGATAAGCATATAAAACAATTTAATTCTGACCAGGAAGGGGAATGCCAAGCCCTAACAAAGTACCCGAATGAAAAATGGAATTTCTCAAAGAATTATCTATCCTAAAATGCCAAAATAAAATGATTGTGCAAAGAGGAAACACCATCATGTAGTATAAGTAGGCCTAGCTCTTCTTAACCATGCTTATGTTCCATTACACTTTTGGCCTTATGCTTTTTCTACTGCCATTTACACTATTGATCGTCTTCCCACACTCAAACTGCATAACCATTCCCCTTATTCCATCCTTTTTGGTAACGAGTCCTCCCAATGATGAGTTAAAACTTTTTAGCTATTTATAATGCCTATGGTTAAGACAATATGTGAGTCACAAGTTAGCACCCAAATCCTTATTGTATTTTTGTGGGATATAGCAAAATTTCTAAAGGTTACTCGTGTTATGATTTGTCTATTAAAAAATTTCATATCTCACACCATGTCTTATTTGATGAACATGTGTTTCCATTTGCACTCGTCAAATCGGAGTTCACCAAGTACTACATAATCCACCGTAAACAGTATCTATCCCATTGCCTTCACCAAATAACATTATTTTTTCAAATCATGATATTTTTATTTTTTTATTTTTTTTACCAAAACAAGGTAGTTTTAAACTTATTTCCTAAACTAGGGTATTTTATACCATGTAAGATTTATTTATCCATGTCATTTCTTTTTTACTTAACTAATTTTTTTTTGTTAAGAAGTAAACAATTAATAAAAATAAATTTATAACTTGATATAATTGGAATGCAACTTTTAATTATATATATATATATATATAATTATACTTGAGAATTTTTTTACAAAACAGACTTTAATTAGAAATATTTTAGAAAACTATTCATTTTAAAAATAAATATTTTGAATATATATATATAAATAGAAAGATAGGCAATCTCTTATAAGCCTATATCAAAATAAAAAAATAATATAAATTAATACATAATAAAATCAATTAGATCATTCTCTTCTCAGTGCAAAGAAAAATTCTGAAGGTGTACGATTCAAATGCTACTGCTTGCAATGTATATATTTTTCTATGCGTGACATGGCCTTGTCTAACCAAACTAGTGTTGCTGGATTTCAACGGTTTTGGATGTTCTGATAGGGTTTATGCCGGTATAGCCTTTTTATTTCTTTCAAAAAATTTTGATTTATCTATTCATGGCGACAGAAAGATTCAAAAAGATATTTCATGTCGTGTGATAATTTTTTTTTTTTTTTTTTTGAAAGAATGTATGGTAAACTTTGGAATAAGCAGTTGGTACGAATTTTGAATTATTTTTTTTAATTGATGTTATAAGCTCAATTTTGACCCCCATAATTATTTTAGATTTTTTTCATAATTTTTTATTTTATTTAATATAGATTTTCCGTGAATATTTATTTTATTTAAATTTATTGCTGTTATTATTCTTATTAGTAGTAGTAGATTTTGTTTCATTCAATTTTTAAATAGTGAGTTTAGATTATCATTCCTCATTTTATCATAAATGCCAAGAACAAAAAAAAAAAAAGGAAAAGGAAAAGAATAGTTTGTAATTTCAGATTTTAAGGGTTTTAATTGTAATTAATTTAAAAATGTTATGGATCAATTTAAAAATATCAAAATCTGAAGGAAAACAATTGAGAGCAATAGGGGACTATCAGTGAAAATTAAGACAAAAAGGATCAAAATGATTCGAACGGGGGTTTCAATTGAAATAAAATTAAGCATAGAAGGATGAAGTTGGAAGAAGAAGAAAACAACAAGGATGAACTTAAACGTTCGTCGAGAGACGCGCCTTCCGTCGTTCCCTTCTGCTTCAAAATGAACCCTGCATGCATTTGTTCCTTCTCCCACAAAATGCAAAGCTAAACGAAACAAAAGATAAAAATAAAATAATAATAATAAAGAAATGCGAACGAAACAGAGGGGTGGGAGTGCTGGCTGAAGTGTCCCGAAAACCAGCACCAACTCCTCCAGCCTGGCACCTAATCCTCATACCGACTCCTCCCACTAGGCCATGCCTTGGTCTTGCACTCGTTAACCCTCACCAAACTCTCGGCAGCAAAGAAGAAAAAATGATAATGACAGTAGAAGAAAAACGGGAGATGCTTTGAATAGAGCAAAACTGGACAGAACAAGAGAGGAGAGAGAGACAGTAGGATTTCTTTAAAAAAAAAAGAGGGAAGTTCTTTCTGGATTTGGAGCTTGAAACCTTCCGCCATTTTCTCTTATTCATCGTGAGAAGGGAGGTGGAGTTAATCTTGATTGACCCTCTTTCCATTTCGGCCAAAAATTAAAATGCTTTCAAGAGGTCAAATAATCTTACATGACTTTTCTTTCTCTCTCTAAAAACTCATTTTAATTTGAAACATTTGAATGTGAAACCATTGTAAATCAAAGTTTATAAGTATGTGAGGGAGAAGGATGAATTTTTTTCAAGTTTTAAACCGATATAAATCAAAATGAATGGAGGGATATTTTTGCAGAAGCCATGCATGCCTCTGTTACGTTTCTCTTGAATGCGAGAGACGATGAAATTTGTTTTAAATTGTCTTCCTCATAGTTATAGCTAGTAACCCTGCAATCGAGTTTCTGGTGTGAATGATTTATGGGGTGAAATTGATAGAATTTTAATTCTAGGGTTAATTTTGGTTTTTATTTATTTTAACAAGTCCTCCTTAGTTATTTAAAATTTTTAGGATATGTTAATGTACTGGCATTTAACTTGTGTTTTAAATTTTATAACTATTGGAGTTTGTTTGCTATTATATTTGAAATTTATTTGTTTATTCTGCCATTAACCTATTCATTAGGGTGATTTGTTTAAAAATTAATTATTAGCTCTACGGTTTAATTTTATTTAAATCTGAAATTTTTAAGATGTGTTCAGGTGCTTCTGTTTTACTTGTGTTTTAAATTTTATAATTGTTGGCATTCATTTGTTTATTTTTTTAATTTATTTATTTTGTCATTATGTTACTAATTAATGTGAATTGCTTAAAATTTTTGAAGCATTCCTGCTGTATTCTGAGACAATGCTGTCTGTAGGGCCTGCACCGAAAAAAACTTGATCTGATTGAAGGAGACCCTTGTTTTGCATCAAATTCTTGAAGTAATTGTTGTCAAAAGAATTGGGTGTGACCAAATCGAGTGGAGCTAAAGTTGTTTCATCACCAACACTTGGACAACGCCTCTTGCGAGTGCTAGCAAATCCAGTATCAATATTGCTGTGATTGTATATCCTTTCACGAAATATAAAGCATTGAGCTCGTCCTAGAGTATGAGAAACTGACAAAGGAACCATGTCCCTTGCAGTAAGGCCTTTCTTTTGGAAGCAAGAAATAAGACTGTCGAGGCTTTCAAAGAAAGCAGGTAGTTCAGCATTGGCTAAAGTTCGACTTGCAGTGGTTGAATCTCTTCTTCCGAGCTTCGCTGCCCAAGATGGACCACCGACATAAGCAGATGCATATCTTGCTGCCACTGCAATGATATCTGCACAAGATACTACTCCAGGACAAGTCTTCTCTACTTCAGTTTTTGCTTTATCTATGACATTATAACCTCTAGCTGAATTGTTATTGCCTAACGCAGTCTTCTCACTCTCGATAGAGGAAGTCTCAAGATTGAGGCATCACAGCCCTGCAAAACCAAGGATTAATTCGTAAGTAAATTCACTGGCTCAAATTAAGCTAATTATAAAAAACAATATATATAGTTGCAAAAGTACCTGCACAAAGCAATCGTGAAAGTGTAAGCGAATGAGAGACGCTGCCATTCTCCGGTCGCTGGCAATTGCACTTCTGATGGCAGTTCGGATGGCACTAAGTACATTAGGACAAGAGGTGTCGTAAAATGTAGAGGTGAGTTGTGCTTGGCATGCTGTGTTCAAGAAAAACAACATAAACATGAAAGCTATTGCTGCTTTTGTTGCCATTTCTTTGAGTTGTCTCAGGTTCAAAACTAATTAGCTTTTGGAAATGTAGCTAACACAAGCTTTTAGATTTGAGAGAAGATAGCAGATGGAGAAGAATGCATGGAAAATCACCCGTTTATAGAGAAGGATTAAGCACATTAATTAAGATATATATATTAAAAGAGATAATCTCACCTAAAAGCTTAAGTTTATAAGTGAGGTTCTAGAATATAATTTTTATTAGTCTTTAACATACCCCTCAAGTGAAAGCTCCAATATTTGAGCTTGAAACTTGCACAAATTCACATTGTCTTGTGCTTAATACTTGAGAAATTGAGAATGATCGGACTTGTAATAACCCAAAATTTACTCATTTTATTTTATTTTATTTATTTTATTTTATTTATGTTTTTTAATTATTATTTAAAAACCAAAAAAATAAAAAATGATGAAAAACTCAAAAAAAAACATTCATTCAAGGGCACGATTGCATTTAAAGGAAGATATAATTGAGGTAATTAGAGGTACAATCAAACTAATTGAAAAATTCAGAACCTATATTGCACCCTACAAGGACCCAATCGATAAGATTGTGCTTTATAAGGATTGAAATTATACCACGGAAGGACATGATTGCTGATAATTGAAGTTCACGAGGACCAAGCCGAAGGTTTAGAGCGACCGACAGGATCTGCAATGGAGAGGATGACTCGTCGTCCACCCCAATGTAGATTCTCTCCGAAAATTTTTCACGAGAATCCGCCCAAATCCCCCACAAATTTTCCGTTTCGATTTTACATTTTTCATGATTCTTGACTAAATTAATTTTGACGAGAGAATCAAGCAATCACTAATTCCTTTCCTTGTTGATTAGCTAATCGAATCTCAAATTTGAGATTTTAAAATTTTGATAGCAAAAGTCGGGATTGATTGTTGATTCTACGAGAAATTCAAGGAGATTTGTGGCTATAAAGAGGGTTTGAATTCACGGAAAAAGAAAAAGGAGGGGGATTTGGAGTTGAGAGAGAGTGAAAATCAAAAGCAAAAAGGGTTGATTTTTTTTATTTTTAGCGACTTGCGTTTTCGGGATTTCTAGGTTGATGTTCTTGGTGTTCTTGGGTTTTTGGGTTTGGGCATCATCTCGTTAGTCCCTTTTAATCCTAGGTTTGGTTTTTTTTTTTTTTTTTTGGGTTTAATTTTCCATCCTAAAGTGTTTATCAATACCACTTCCTAAAATTTGGGTTCCATTTCCTCAAATTCGGGTTTTCCCTTTAGGAGTTCTAGGGAGCTTGCTTTTGTTCTTGTTTTTCCCGGGTTGGTGTTTGTCTTTCCCTAGGTCGATCGAAGGGTGTTTAGGCTTGTTTTGAGAGAAATCATCATTTTTTGGGTGAAGTAAAAGAGAAATCGAGGGTCAAGATTCGAAAAATCGTGAGAAATTTTTTTTTTTTTTTTTTTGGGTTCGTCAATTCTTTATATTTTTCTAGGTTTGTTTGGTGTTCTTCAACCGTGTTTCCCGAGTCGACTTTCATTTTCGATCTTTCTGTTTTGATTTCGTTATTGCTTTAGTGTTAATTGTTTGCTTGTTGGTGTCTTCGGGCCATGAACTGGTAGTTTGTGTGATTAATCGTTTGTTCCCGAAAGTTTGAAGAAATAGAGAGAGGAAGTTAAGAACGTGAAGAACAGGAGAGAGAAAGAATCAAAAACTAAAAAAAATGTGTTTTGATCGAAACATGAAGGAGGTGGGCCTATTTTTCTGTTTGTAGCCTAGCAGAGTAAAAAACAAGGGCTATACCGATTTCGACCCAATCTAGCCCAATCCACAAAAATTAAAAAACGAAAAAAAGAATGAACCAAAACGGGGTGGACTGAAGTTAGTCTAACCCATTTACACTCTACCCATGTAGATGAAAAAAAAAAATGAAAGGGTTGGAATCAATCCAACCTCTCCAAAAAATAAAAAAAAATAATAATAAAGACAAGGGAAAGGAAAAAAAATTAAGAAATAGAGGTAAGGAAGAAGAGAAAAAAATATTTTCATTGTGCGGGTTCTAGTTTTTATTTTATTCGTTTATCTGTTTATTTAATTTTTTTTAATTTTTTAATTTTTATTTTTACTGTGGCTTACGTCTAATTATTTCGGTTTTCCCTTTATTCATTTATTTATTTATATTTTTAAGATTCAATTTTTAGATGATTTTTTTAGTTTTATTTTATCTTAAAGTATTAGAGTTTGTGTTATTTATTAGGTTAGATAATTATTCGATAAAAGAACTATCGAGTCTCCTAAATTTTTAGGGATCGATGATAAATTTTTATCAACAAGAAATAATAAAAATAAAAAATTTTGACGAAGTCTCCTATCCGATAGAGACCGACGTCACAAAAAACAATCATTGTTTAATTATGATGTCTTTCAACACACCCGTTATGTCAAGACTTAAAGTGGATCCGATGTTTGAACCAACGTGTCGTCCGAAAAAAGGGATCAACGTTCGTTTCAATACGATGACATGCTCAAAAATTAAAATTTTAATTTGGCATTAAAAAAAGTGAGAGTTTAGAAATCAGAAAATAATTTGACATTTTAGGAGATTAATTTAGAATTAAACTACATATGGTACCTCTTTCGAAAAGAGCACATTTGGGTGATTAAATATCCTCCCAAAAGTGTAACCAACTCCTTGCCATAGAATCTCCGAACCGGTGCCTATTTTTAGGTTTCTAGTTCCTTCAATACTAGATGGCGACCCCGAACTATGTACATAGACTAGTAAATAATTAACATTTAGATTTAGATTTATTTTGGGAGTCCCGTCCGATGTCGAGCAGCAATAAGACTTGAACTCACGATTTTTTTGTCAATCAAACTCTTATACCATATTAAAAAAAAATATATCTCATTTAAAAGTTTAAGCTTATTGATGAAGTCTCAAAATATAATTTATATTAATCTTTAATAATATAACTTGTAGTCATCCTTTTTCAAAATTTGATGCTGCATGCCATAATTATTCAACACTTCTTTGGTCTGACCAATTCCCCTAGAGAATTATTCTATGCTGCAAATCGCCGTAATAATTCTTTTTTTCTGCAACAAGCACAGCCTTTCCTTGTGGATAAGTATAGCATGGGACTGTATGCTACATGGAAACATCATTGTTTGTGATTACGTGAGTCAAATGTCTTATTTGATCCTTAATGCAGGATAGTGGTTGATTTTATGAGTAAATTATAAATTAGTCATTCTCATAGTTGAAAAACGAATTGGTTGATTTTTCTTGTTTTTAAAACTAATTATTTAAATTTTTTTATTTATTTTATGTTTTTTTAAATTTGTAATGTTTTGATTTAAAAAAAATAGATATTATGAAAAGCTAGATAAAAAAATATATATTTTTTTAAAATAAATTAATATTAAATTAAACTTGGTTATTGTTGGTTAAAAAATTAAAAAATTAATTTTTAAAAAACATAACTAATTTATTCATTTTTCAAAATCGGAGGGACTAGTGTATAATTTCTTCTTGATTTTATTGAGAGGTTTTTAAAAAATAAAAAATAAAAAGACAGGCAAAAGCAGAAACAGAAGTCAAAAAGTAATCATAGCGAAACAGAAAAGTCAAAGACAAAGGGTTGACAAAATCCTATAATGTCTTAGAAATAATCTGAAAGAATCTTTTTAGTTTTGATATTTTCAAATCAGTTACCCATATTAGTTTTCAAGGCCAATCATTAGAGAAAGGTCAATAATTACGTGGTAGTATGGAAAAAAAATCCTTTTTGAAAGAAAAAAAAGATTTTATTTATGAGAATAAAATAAAAGTGTATTTCTTTTTAAATTCTTAAAATATTCCACATTAATCTTTTATTGTTTTATTAAACGTAAAATTACATAAAAAATTTTCAATATGTATAAGGATTTCAATTCAAAATCATTTGTTTTATCAATTAAAATTTTTTTTACTTAAATCAATTCTCTTAAATAATAAAAATTGATTTTAATTTTTCGAAAGCAAGGATGATATAAACTCTTCCTTACTAGTTTGTATTGTAATTCAACATTTTTGAATTGTCTATGCATTGAAAAGTATTATATTTTTTTTAAAAAAATAGTATTATATTGAATCAAATGCGGAGACTTTTAACGAGAATGATTCTAAACCATAACTGATTTCATAAATAATCAAGTAAGCATAAATCCTTATATCTGGTCAAAGTCAATAATATATGTTCCATTCAAAAAAAAAAAAAAAGTCTTTGAATATTTTTTTCAAATATTATAGGAGAAGCATATGATCCAGCTGTAATATTACGCCAAAATAGTATTACTTTCCAATTCATGATTTTCAAGTGGGAAGAATTTATATCATACTTGCTTTGGGAAAATTAGAGTCCACTTTTCTTTGAATATTTTTTTGCATGCTTGTGGCTCACCCAATGAAAGCAATTATTATAGTATTTTAAATATCAAATTCAGTGTTTTAGTTACTTTTATTTGTGATAAACCGTTTAAATTATTATTAAATATTTATTGCAAATTGATATCAACTCTTTATTCGAAGTTTATAGTATAATATGGAGTAATTTCCTATGAATCTTTTTTGTCACTGTCATAATTGGTTGCAAATTTTTAAAAGAAAAATTAGAACCGAAATGCATAATTAATAAAGGGAACAAATTAAGAGAGTAGGATTTCGGCGGGCGGAGGTCATGGAGTTTCAATTTACGATGATAATTTAAATTTAAGGAAAAAAAAAACAGACAAAAAAAAAGCGTTGGGTGATATATGGAGTAAATTACAAATTAGTCCTATTTTTTCAAAACAAAGTAAATAATAACTCTAGTTTCCAAAACTAATGAACTAGTCTCTATATTTTTTTAATCTACTCTAACTTGATACTTTTTGTTATTTTTAAATTTATTTTGATTTTTTGTTATAAGTAGGGATGGCAATGGGGTGGGACGGGGCAAGGATCGCCATCTTCATTCCGGCTCCGTCCCCCGAGAAAAAAAAAACCCATTTCTATCATGTATCTTGTTCGGGGTGAAATTTCGCTCCCATTCCTACCCCATGCCTCATTGGAGGTGGATTGGATTGCCATCCTTAGTTCTAAGAAATAATAATAAAAAAAAATTAAATTAATCATATTCAACCCCAATAAAGAGACTAATTAATTAGTTTTCATAACAAGAGAAACTATTTAATTTATTTTACAAAACGGAAGGGACTAATTTATAATTTACTCGTGACATATGTAGGGTCAAAAGCCCAGTTGTCCAAATCGCTTTCTTACTTTGACTTTCAACGTGGCATAAATAATAAAATTATTATATCACGTACTATTTGTTTGTTTAATGAACAAAATGACAATGGTGACAAAACACATTTCAGTAAATTATAAATGACTCCCTGTATTTAAAAAAAAAAACTAATTAGTTATTTTTATTTTAAAAATTTTTGTTCAAAAATTAATTATTTATTCTCTATAGAATTTAGTTTTCTTGTAGTTTAATCATTTTCACCCTTTTTCAGTTTATTTTCATTTTTTATTTTAAGAAATAAAAAAATAAATTAAAAACATGGAGTTGACATTAAAAAAAATGTAGTACTAAATTAAACGTCATTAACGGTGTTTAATGTATTAAATAATTAGTTTTTAAAGTAAAATAAAAACTAATTAATTCATTTCTTCAAGAGGGATTAACTTATAATTTACTCGAACATAGTTTCCTGCTTCTTTCCTAAAAGAGACGAAAAGAGATTTCTGTTTCTTGCTATCCATATTTTTTAACTATCTAAAAGATAGTAGAATTTAGTAAAAAGATCGCAGCTGTAAGCAACTAATTACTCGGAAAATCCCAAAAACAGCCGCACTGGATTACTATTTCATACGTTTCAGTGCAGATAAAATAATTGGTCACAAGAAGAAGTCTTAATGAATAAATGACTGGCATGCAGCAGGCATCGAAATTGAAAAGTTCCCACGCGTTATTGCACTTATAGCAGTAGTTTTACTCATACAAACCTTGATTAATATGTGCTTAATGATCCTCTATAAATGGATGAGCTCCAATGGATTCTCCTCCATCTTCTATCTTCTCTCAATTCCAACACCCTGTGTGCAAAAATATCAGTTTCCCACTCTGAAAGCACAAAGAAATGGAAGGAAAAGCAGCAGCAGCGTTCGTGTTTATGCTGTTTTTGTTGAACATAGCATGCCAAGCACAACTCTCCTCCACATTCTACGATAACTCCTGTCCCAATGCACTTGGAAAGATCCGAACTGCCATCAGAAGTGCAATTGCAAGCGACCGGAGAATGGCAGCATCTCTCATTCGCTTACATTTTCACGATTGCTTTGTGCAGGTACTTTTGCAAACTAAATATAGCAGCCATTGTTCTTCTCTCTCTCTCTCTCTCTCTCTCTCTATATATATATATATATATATATCAACTTTGAGCTAGTGCATTTTCATCATGAATTAATCTAGCTTGTTTTTGCAGGGTTGTGATGCCTCAATCTTACTAGACGAGACTTCTGCTATCCAGAGTGAAAAGACTGCACTAGGCAATAATAACTCTGCTAGAGGTTATAATGTCATAGATAAAGCAAAATCTGAAGTAGAGAAGATATGTCCTGGAACTGTATCTTGTGCAGACATCATTGCGGTTGCGGCAAGAGATGCATCTGCTTATGTGAGTTCTGCCATAATTTATCCATCTCTTTATTTTTGTTAGCATTTCAAGTTACAAAATCAAGATTTCTAATCTATGGTTACTCTAAAAAAATGTCACAGGTGGGTGGTCCATCTTGGGCTGTGAAGCTTGGAAGAAGAGATTCTACTACAGCAAGTCGAACTTTAGCCAATGCAGAACTACCTGCTTTCTTTGAAAACCTGGAAAGTCTTATTTCTCGCTTCCAAAAGAAAGGCCTCACTGCAAGGGACATGGTTGCTTTGTCAGGTTCGCATACCCTAGGACAAGCTCAATGCTTTACATTCCGTGAAAGGATATACAATCACAGCAATATTGATGCTGGATTTGCTAGCACTCGCAAGAGGCGTTGTCCGCTTGTTGGTGGTGATTCAACTTTGGCTCCAATGGATTTGGTCACACCCAATTCTTTTGACAACAATTACTTCAAGAATTTGATGCAAAACAAGGGTCTGCTTCAATCAGATCAAGTGCTTTTCAATGGAGGTTCCACGGACAGCATTGTCTCAGAATACAGCAGGAACCCGTCAAAATTCAGCTCTGATTTTGCATCTGCCATGATTAAAATGGGAGATATAGGTTCTGGATCAGCTGGGGAGATAAGAAGGATTTGCAGTGCTGTCAACTGATTTATTTGTTCTTTTGCTTGAATTGTTTCTCTGCTCAAGTGTGCAGAAACATGTGTTAATTGTAACATTAAATTGTTAATTTTCTTAATCATTTGTTAAATATAAATTAACAATATAGAAAATTCTTTCCTTGATTACCTTATCCTTGTTTTGTTCATTGGTCATCTTACCAACTAATTTAGCTGGAGCCTTCTGCTAGCTCCTTGCATTTGGACTCCCATCAACTCCTTGCATGTAGTCATAATTTGGCCTTTGGCGCATATAATTTTCAAAACTAATCATTAGAGAAGCTCACCAATTACATGGCAATAAAAGAAAATATTTTTTAAAAATATGATTTTATTTATTAAAATAAATAACAACGGTCATTAAAAAACAGAAGTCAAATGTAAATATGAGATAATTTGAAAAGTCAAAACAAGCGTTGACAAAATTCTATAATGCTTTAGGAATAATCTAATTAAAAAGCATCTCTTCACGTTTAGTTAATTCCGAATGACTTAGGTACCAATTTAATTTTCAAAACCAATCACCAACGTTTTGAAAGTAAAATTTCTGCACCAACTTACAAATGTCATCAATCCTAAATGATATATGCATATCTCTCGAGATCTAAAGTCGAACTAAGAATAGGTATCTCTATCATGTGATCGGTGAATTTATTATTCAGTTATTGCAATTGAGAATCTATCACAACATTGAATACATCAATTTTGTAATGATGTTCAACTGTAATTACATCTTATTGATGACGAGCCATTCCTTTTCTTATTACATAATGAACACTTAAGTCCGGTATGGGTATGTTAGTTGCTTCATAAAAAAATTTTGTTTTTGAAATTAATTCATCCCATCCTTCATCTCTTAATTTTTTAATGGGTAACTTAGTTAAAAAAACCGGATGCATTGCATTCAAAATATCTTGAGATTGAAGCTGTAAAGCTTGACAAAGCAAATCAAATATCTCTAAAAATTTTCTCATGAGATGCATAATGAAAACAAATTTAAAAGAAGTTAATCTCTCATAAATTACATCTGCGTCTCCACAATGAATAGTTGAAACTCCATCTTCAATGATATTCAATAAAATTTCACAAGTTGCAATAAATATATTCATCAAGCTAGGAACAGATTTTAGATGAGAATTCCAACGAGTATCCCAAATCCTTTTGTAATATCCCCAACCCGTTATTAAATGAATTAAAAATATATTAAGGATGTATGAAAATTATTCTATAGGCATACGATAGTTGCCATGAGGATGCTAGACCATTCGGTGCGCTTAGGATAATTTTTCTATGCCGAGTGAATATTTTATTTGTTTTTCGATGCATGAATAGTAATTGTTTTTGCAAAATAAATGTTTTGAGTATTTTAATTGTGCATGAAAAATTTTCTGTTTGTATAGAATATTTGTTAGATGGGTGCTAGATTTTTTTGTGCCGGTATGTGAATTTTTTGATGTTCATTAAATATTTTCGATGCATGAATAGTATTTTTTCATGCAAATTAATTATTTTGAGTATTTTAAATGTGTTTGAAAATTATCCAATGGGAATACAAAAATGATTAAAGAGGTGTAGGAATATTTTATGAACTTAGGTGAATTTTTCTGTGCATAGGGAATATTTTATGTAAAAATAAGTGTATTTTTACACTTATTTAAGCCCTTAAATTAATTATTTTGTGTAAAAATACACTCATTTATCCATAGGTTAATTAAACTTCCAATTGAAGCATTTAAAAAAAAAATCAATTAAAGCATGAATTAGGATAGTATCATATTAAAAGTAAAATTTTGACAAAAGAAGAAAGAAGATAAAAGAATATGGTATGAGATGTTTCATGGAAAAAAAAAAGAAAAAAAGAGTTGGAGGTGGTCAGGCCCCTTTAGCATTCTACTTGGGTTCGCCTCTGCAGTATGTATCTAAGAAATTTATTATCTCCAGCTCCTCTTACGACCAATCAATCAAATTGGCCTAATCAAACAACTGTTTGCATGACATTTTTCAAAGATCATATATAATAGAATGACAAAAAGGAGAAATCTAAATCTAACCGCGCTTTTTAGTTACTTTTATTATTTATGATAAACTCATTTTAAATTGTTATTAATTTATTGAAAATTGGTATCAACTACTGATTCCAAATTTATCAAAGAATATAGAGCAACTTTTTCGTGAATCTTTAATTTGTCACTGTCATAATTGGTTGCAACATTAACTATAAATTTTGGGTGCTAAAAACATCATATTTTCACTCTAAAAACACAAAGAAATGGCAGGAAAAGCAGCAACAGCTTTCATGTCTATGTTGTTTTTGTTGAACACAGCATAGCATGCCAAGTACAACTCTCCACAGCATTTTATGACACCTCATGTCCCTTAGGTGATTGTAAGAATTTAGAAACTAAAAATAAAAATTAGGTGCTCAAACAAAATTAAAAAAAAAAAAATTAGACAGTCAAATTACAGTTTTTTTCAAGTATAAATAAGCGTGTTTATCATTGTAAAAAAAAATATTGAAGTTAAATCAAAATGAGCTTGTTAAGCTTGTTTTTAACTCATTATCAATGCACCAATGTTTCATACATAATAAGTTAAAATTTTTCTATATTTCTTTTTACATTAAAATAAGTGTTACAGTAAATATTACATTTTTTATACACATATCTTTTTCATTTTTTTATTGAACAATAAAATATTTTTTTCGAACCAATTTACACCACTTCTTAGTTCGAACACCCAAATAATTTTATTTATAATTTGTAAAACCTTTTTATTCCATATATTACAACTTACAAGCTACAGATAGTTTCAGAGCATGAGACAGCCCCATTTTCAGCCATTGTAAATCGTAATCCTACCCTCACAGAAGTCAACTGGTGCTGCTCTGTGTGTGATTTTAAGGCCCATTGGAGAATTGAGCTTATTTCGGGACTTCTTCACCTTTAAGGATAAATTACAGGTACTGAAATTGCTTTTAATGTCATTTTTTTTAAGCCAATGTAATGATTGAGAAATATTTCAACTTTTTATATATATATATATATATATATATATATATATATATCGTTGTTTCTGTTGACTCAATTGAGGAAATAAGTATTTGTGTATAAACCGGTAATCTTCGATCCTCAAAAAATAAATAATAATAATAATAATAAATAAATAAATAAATAAATCCTAAGGAATTGAAGATGGTTGAGAAATTTTTTTTAAAAAAAATTTAGATTCAAACATTGAATCTAGTATTTGAAGAATTTTTAAAATTTTGTGGAATGTACCAATCTAAGTGGGTGCAATATTAAAATTGTTTGAGATAAAATTTAATTTTAATTAATATACACGCTGACTCTAAAATATCATTACGATAAAAAAAAATTCAAGATAAATAGGTTATGATAAAACGGATATATATATATATATATATATATATATATGAGTACTAAAAATATTTTCTGAAAAAAAAACTATATATATTTACAATTATAGAACGTGTTATGTGAATTTTCTTTTTTTCATTTTACCTTTAGGTAAAACTTAGGCATAACTATTTTTGTTTACAGCTGTAAAAAGAAACAAAAATAAATAATCATCGACTAAATAGTGACTATTGTAACTAATTATCAATTAGTTAGTAAGTTAGTAAGCTTAGATGAAGTTAGTTAATTAAGTCAGTTGTTTAGCTCTTTTAATCGATCTGTTGTGTTAGCTTAATATATATACAAGCATTTGTTTGTTCTTTCTGTAACCAAGGAGAAAGAAAACTTTCACTCAAATTATAAAGAAAACTAAAAAAAAACTGAGATATTTGAACAATAATAACTATTCATTTATTGTATCCCAATTCGTTTGCTTCTTTTTTTTTTTTTTTTCTTGAGTTGAACAGCAGCCAAGGCCAGTGCATTTGGGCCTGCAAGCGCATTGGCCTTGGCTGCCGGTCAATCCAACCAGGCACCAGCTTAATCTTCTTCCTTTTTTTTTTTTCTTCTTTATATACATAGGGCTTATGATTGACAAACATATCTTTAAGTCATCACTTTAAAATATTTTTAATTTCTAATTTTATTGTAAATCAGTAATGACTGATGTCCTTTTAAGGGAATAAAAGCCCACTAACATACCTTTTTTCCCCTCTTCTTTGATGAGTAGACTATGAGTTAGCCTCTGTGTTTTATAAACAAATTAATTATTTTTTTTTTGTTTTAGAAATTAATTATATAAGTCATATGACTAATATTGACTAAGCTTAATTTAATATTATTTTATTTAAAAAAATCTTGTTTTCTTATAAATTCTATACAGTTCTTTTTTAAAAATTTGTGATGACTGATTTCTTTTTAAGGGGACAAAAAGCCCACTAACACACCTTTTCCCCCTCTTCTTTAATGAGTAAATTATAAGTTAGTCCTCTATTTTTTATAAACAAACTAATTAATTTTTTTAAAAAAATTAATTATATAAGTCATTTGATGAGTATTGACTATGCTTAATTTAGTATTATTTTATTTAAAAAAATCTTTTTTTCTTATCAAATCTTCTATATATATAATTTAGAAACAACAAAAAGGATTAAGTTATAAAAAATTTTAAAATATAAGAGTTAAATAATTAGTTTTTGAAAAAAAAGACTAATTAATTTGTTTCTCAAAATTTAAGAGACTAAATTATTGTAACCCTTTTTTTCTTCCTATATATATATATATATATATATATATATATATATATATATATATATATATATATCATTAAATTAGGTATAAATTTTTTTCTTAGGTTGAACAGCAGCCAAGGCTGGCCAGTCCTGGCAATACAGGGCAAGTAGGTGCGAGCCTTACCTCTTTTTTTTTTTTTTCCTTTCTATATATGTTATCATGAAATTAGGTGTGAAAAATATATAAAATAATTTTTTTATAGTTTTACGTGCAGCTTAAAGATGATAGAATAGATATGATATTTTTTAAAATCTTAGTTTAAATATATATATATATATATATATATATATATATGTCTGATTATATTACTCTTATTTTTTAAAATTTATTTATTCAATTATTTGTTTCTTATTAAAATTCTCATCAAATTAATTTTTTGATATAATTTTCTTTGTTAATAAATTTGATTTTTTAATATGTGAATTTTGGAATAAAATTTTAGAATGTTGATATTTTATTTTTTAAAAATATATTATTATAATTTATACAATAAATTATTTTTATGCTTTTAAATTTTTTTTATTTTTTAAAATATATTATTATAATTTATAAATTATGATTATATATATATATATATATATATATATATATATATATATATATGTTTTAGATAGTTTTGCTTAATTTTTTTAAAAAAATTAATAATCGATTAAAAAATTTCATAAGTTTTATTTGTTTTTTATATATATTTATTCGAAATTTATCAAAACCAGTTTTTTTGTATTTTTATTTTAATCTATTGACTTCAATATATTTCATATAATTTATGTGGATTTTTTTTTTGTATATTTTTCTATTTATTCTATACACTCTAAATATGTATATATATATATAACACAACTTGAGAGGTGACAGTGACACCATCCTGATTAGTTTATAAACAGCAATATTTGATTAGCATGGTCCCTGTTAGAAACCAAAAAAAGATGACAATAATTACTTTATTTTCCGTACTCATTTTGGTGCCTTTTGCTATTTTATGCTTTTCAAACTTATTTTATCTTTATTTCCGTCCTTACTCTAAATTAGAAGATGTGCAGAATTACAGAAAATAAAATTCTTTAGAAAGACTTCAGAACGTAGCTTGTGTAAAAATTTAGAAAGAAGAACAAAAAAAAAATTGTTGAGAAGGATTTCTATTTATCATGTGCATCGCTTCGATTACAGGATTCCCAAATTTTCTTATAAAACAAGTCCACATTTGAGCAATTAACTGACACTAGGCTTTCGCCAAATAAATATGTTTGCAAAGTTATAAAGATCATGAGATAAGAAAAAATTGCTTAGGGCATTCTTTGGAGTCAAATAAATAGGTAATTTCTGCGATTTATATTAATAAATATTTAATTACATTTCAATGCATAAAGATATTTCCATTTTTCTTTAAATAAATAAGAAAAAGTTATTGAGATTTAACTTGTGCACAATAAATTAAAATTGACATAATTTTAAAATCATGACAGGTATATACATAAAACTGATTGTTGCAATTGATGATGTTCATATTTATATATGTGATCAGAGTATATACAGGTAGAAAAACATTATCCTACAAGTATTGATATGCAATTATCATTACATGGAAAATTTAATATCTATTTTTAATTAGCTTATACTTTACTTGTGATAATATTTTTTCTAATTATTTTTTGTTCAACTTTTCAGTGTTAAGTCAATTGCGTGGGTTTGCTATAAATCTCCTTACCTTCTTAGGTACAGCTTATAAGCAATGTCCACTTATTTATTTCTATCATTATTAATTAATTTATATATCATGCATGGTTTTATTTAATCACTCTTTAAGAATCCAGCAAATACATGATTTAATTATATCCTAGATACAAAATTAAAAGTTTAAGGTTGGTCAGCCTTACAGCCCAAAACATAACTTACTCTCTTAAAATTTTCATTTTGGCGGCAAAAATGCCCTTAAAATAAAATTAAGAGACAATAACACCCTTGTAGTTGTTGTGAATTACAAGTGGGGTGATAAAGGCTATATTTCTCATTTTACATTTTCACATGCAATCCCCGTGATTATTGACGCGACACCCGGAATCTCCATGTGGCAATGTTTACAGACCCAACAAACCACTTTTTAATCGAACGGCTCTTCCTGATCTCTTGTTGGATTCACATGTAATCAACGGGGATTGTACTTGCTTGCCTGGCGACAGCAAATGTTTTACAAACTGTTTGACTAAATAGAAGACGATAATTTAAAGCTGTAAAAAGATTGGATTTTTTGTTACTTTTATATCGCTTGCTTTCACGTTCTCTGTCAGAAGGAACGTGTTGTTTTGGCCTTTTTTTTTTTTTCCCTAGGGAAACGAAATATTTTTTTTAAAGATTAACTTTTGTAGTACAGTGATTCATGTAAATTAAACGATAATAATACAAATTATGAATTCAAATACTAATAGCATCTCCAATGACGTTTTTTATTTTTAATTAATATTTTTAATGTAAATAGAGAATACCATTAATTATATAGATTGAAGATCAATATCCTTTCTAATACTACTCTCTACTTAATTTTTTATTTTGATAAAATCTATCAAATCCAAAGAGACTATTGGTGAATAGATTGGGTGACATAGAAAATAGTAATTTTCATTAATGAAATATAAGATAAAAAGTCATTTGAACTCTCTAGTATTGGAGAGCCAAAGACACTCTCTATATCAATTTTAAAGATAGAGATTATGATAAAGAGAGCATTAGAGATGAAATTTGGATCAAACTTCTTTATTATAAAGAAAAATCTTAATCTCTAATATATTAATTTTACTAAAAGTTTTAAATGTAGTTTTACTAAAAGCTTTGAGTTTAAGAAGTAACAAAAAAAAAAAAAAAAAGGAACGATAATGTGGTGTTTCTTTTTCAAAGCATTTCAATTCTCAATCAATTAAATAAGGCTAGAAGCGAGTACATTATGAATTAGTTTTTTTTATTTTCTAAAAACAAATTAATTAATTGTTTTTGTTTTTGTTTTTAAAAATTAATTTTTAATTAGTAATCACTGTACTTAATTTAATTTAATATTATTTTATTTTTATATTTTATAAAATATCATTTCTTCTCATCCATGTTTATATATTTTTTATTTTTCTATTTCTTAAATAAAATATCGAAATAATTTAAAAATGAACAAAAATTAAGCTACAAGAAATTTAAAAATATATAAACTAAATAATTAGTTTTTGAAATAGAAAAAATTAATTAATTTACTTTTAAATGAAATTTAATATTTATCTGTTAGAAGCCTAAAAATGTTTCAATGAATCTCAATATTTAATGAATTGCTTATAATTTAATTTTTAACTCCTCTTTCCATGACAAAAACAAATGAGTGGATGTGTGGATCCATACAGCTTTCTTGTCTCTGGTATCTATATTGACAAATGATGCTTCACCGTGAGTATTCTTTGTGCATGAAGGAGCCCAAGAAAGAAACGCAACTCAACTAGTACAATCTTTAAAACAATCTGAACTAGGATCTCTAATACTACCTTATCAAATTATTAACGCTGAACATGAGAAAATTTGAACTATGACCCTCCTTTTCCTTTCAGTTACTCATGGCCTCAGCTTTATTACTGACCTCTAGAGAAAAGCCACAAATCTACGTCATGCAGGCTGTTGAAACTTGGGGCTTTAATTTTCCACAGTAACAGTCAATTTTCATGGAGGAAATGATTGATCTCTGGTGGGACGTGTTTCTTTTTTGCCCTTTTTTCTCACACAGCAAACTTTTTATTTGACAAAAAACTAGTGATCCAAAGGCAGGGCACCACGACCAAATAATTCCATTTCTTTGGCTGTATTTGTTTGGAGAAAAACAAATTTTATAAAAAAAATCAATTCTTGAGGAAGTTATTTTTCAGAAAATTATTTTTTAAAAACATATTTTCTACCATTTGATAATTACATAAAAAACCGTTGAAAAATATATTTCAGTGTTTATTTGATACATAAAATTAAAATACAAAAACATACATGATTGTTATATTAACAAGTTTTGAAAAAAACTTTAAAAAGACATATTCATAATTTTACAATATAAGATACATTTAGAAAAATTTAATAAATTTTCATAAATACTAACTCTAAAATTTTAATTCAAAAAATAAAATATTTTTTTTAGAATCAAACCAATTCATCAAAATAACTTGAGACAATATTAAGTCAATAGTCACATTTAGTAAAAAAAAATTCTAAGTAATTCTAGCATTGTTATTTTGGTAACTCAATTAAGATTTTTTTTTTAAGAAATTGAACTGATAATTTAGTCTGAAAAATAGTTTTACAAATTATTAGTTATCATTTATAGATAATTATTCATTTGGTCTCAAAAGAATAATGTTGGAATAATTTGTAACTAATTATTCACTATAATTACCAACAAAATTTTACAATTGATTAAAATTATAAATTATTGATTTAATTACAAATGAATAGTATTGAAAAAATAATGTATTTATTGATTGATTAATTAATTAATTAATTTTAATTTTTTTTTACAAAAAAATATAGTCTTGTAATAATCATTTTCAATCATTTAAGTATAGTTTAGATGATGTTTGAGATAATAGTAAAAAAAAGAGATAAATTATTGAAATATTTCTGATAAAAATAATTTTAAGGTATAAAAATGGTTTTTAAGAATATTCAATGTATCTATAAATCAAAAAAATCAAATATTAGTAAAAATAGAGAAAAAGAATTAAATAATTAATAATAATTGATAAGGAATAATTAAAAATTAATGTGATATATTTTAAATAAAAAGAAGATGGATAAAAAAATTGTTAAAATATATCGAGAGAGAGATAAGTAACACGAGAGCGAGACATCGAGTGAGAAATAAATTGTTTTCCTTTTTTGAAATTGGAAAAACATTTTTCTAAAAATACTTTATCATTTTTCGTTGATTTTTTTCCTAATTGCGAAACAAATATTGAAAAATGAGAAAAACAAGTTACTCAATTTTTTTTTTTCCAGACAAACACAACCTTAATGTATCAATGTCAAACCCCTTCCCTCCTACGTTTACACAAAGACCGAACCGTAGATCTTTACATCAGTGGTTTCTCTCTGATTCGACCCGGTACACACAGATTCTAACATGGCAACGTACATTGCTCCAACCGCAATTGTTGTTGAAGTTCTAAAAGAGTATAACTATGATGATTGGAGTGCGTGCATGAAAAGCTATATGTTAGCTGAAGACCTTTTGGATATTACTGAATCTACTGATCATCAAGAAGGTGACCAAGAAGTTGACTCTAAGGCATCGAGGAAAAAGAATGCTGCAGCTTTACATGCAATTCAAATTTCTTGTGCACCACACATACTTTCCAAGATTAGGCACATCACTTCAGCCAAAATTGCCTGGGATACTCTAGCCAATTTGCAAGCATCAGGAGATGGATCTCAGTCGACAAGAAATGAGTCAGAAGCTCCTGACCAGGTGAATGCAGGTATGCCATGTCTCATTCTCTTAATTTCTTAGATCTCAAATCACTTCAATTTCATGTTAACACAGGAGAGAATGAAAACCTTGGCAGGAGTAGTGAACCAAGAAAATACTGGTTCCTTACTAGCCCTGTGCAATTATGCTCATAAAGGATATTGCGATGCCGCAAGAAACCATCTTAGCCAATATCCAGGTGCAAAAACTGTCAAGATTAAACCCTACGGTGAAACTGCCCTTCATGTAGCAGCTTATGCTGGAAATTTGAAATTTGTGGAGGAATTGGTGAAGTTGATGTCAGAAGAGGAATTGGAAATACAAGATAATAGAGGCAAAACAGCTCTTTTTATTGCTGCTGCTGTTGGAATAACAGAGATGGCAGAGTGTTTGGTGAGGAAGAACAAAAACTTGGTTACCATTATGGATAAATTTAATAGGTTCCCACTTGTTGAGGCATGTCTAGCAAATCATAAGGATATGGCTCTTTATCTATACTCTGTCACCCCCCTGATTTTCTTAGTGAAGATAATGCCAAGAATGGATCTTATTTCCTCCAATGTGCTATTGGTAATCGAATGCTTGGTAAGAGATTTTACTCATTAATTACTTATTTCCATAATTCTCTTCTTCTTTTTGTTGTTGTTATTTTGTTGAGTAATGTTAGGAGCACTTCGAGTTTTTTACTGATCTAATTTTGTTCATAAATCATAGGTCTTCTCTTTCTTTAATTTCTCGACTAAATTATTACTAATTAATTAATTTTGATAAATTATATGGACTAAGTTATTTTTTCCCCATTAATCCTCTTATTTTTTTTTCTTACAAATTCCTTCTTTTGTTGATGTCATCAGCGTGAGGAATTTTTATTTTCTTTATTTTTTATAATTCTAATAGTAGGTTCCTGTTATGGGTCCTTCACACTAGCTAGTTCTTGGATGCATGGAGGATTAACCAAATTTTTTTACAGGAAAGGTTTCACTAGATGACCCATAAGGACTTAAAACGCAATTAACTGAGAGAGATTGACATCAGATTGCTTCATAGGAAACAAAATGAATTCTAAATATCAGATATCGCTTATCATTTCAGGTTGTTTCATTCGATGATATGTTTCTTTTGAATGTTGTACTGTCAGATATCGCTTATCATTTTCTACGTCGCTTCCCAAACATGACTACTGCAATCGATGATGTTTTTAAGTCGAATGCTTTGACGCGTTTGTCTCAGAAGCCTGAAAATTTCCCAAGTGGAAGTCGACTTGCATTTTGGCAACAGTGGATCTATTCATGTTAGTATCTCTTCCTTCAGCTTTTTATTTCCTTCTCACATTTCTCTACCTAGTTCATTGATTTTTCTACTTCCATTAATTCTTTTCTTCTAGAAAAATTATTAGCTGAACCATGTTAATTATGAAACATATTCAGGATAAGGTGAATCCGAAGGATTGGAGAACAGAGACTAGATTTGTATTGAATTAAAAAAAAAATTCTTTTTTTTTTTTTTTCCTTTTTGGAATTACAACTTTCAGTTTAAAGACTTAAGATTTATTACTAATTTTGACTAAAAATTATCAGATTGTTTGCAATATTATACAAATCAAGAGATAAGGAAATTACTTGTGGCATTAATGTTTTGAGTAAAATATGTATTTTCCGCAATTTTATCTTAATAAATATTTTATTATATTTCATTGCATATACACATTTCCATCGATCTTAAAAAAAGAAAGCCATAGAAAAGTTACTAGTATATTGTAAATTAAAATTGACTTAATTTTAATATCATGATGACAGGTATACCCATGCAACCAATTGTTACTACTGATAATTTTTGTATTTATATATCTCATCATCAGAGCCAAAGTGAGTCGAAGAACATTATCCTGCAAGGTATTTATATCATTCATGGTTTAGTTGTTGGTGCAATTATCATTACATTAAAAATTTAGTATGCATATTAATAAGCATATATTTAGTTTTTCTAATTAGTTTTTGTTCAACTTTTCAGTGTTAAGTCAATTGCGTGGGTTTGCTATAAATATCCTTACCTTCTTAGGTATAAGCTATATCCGCTTATTTATTTCTATCATCATTAATTATATATCGATCATGCATGGTTTTATTTGATCCCTCTTTAATTATTGATATATATATATATATATATATATATATATATATATATATATATATATATACAGGAATCAAGCAAATCTATGACTTAAAGAAGACCCATCATTATTCCGAAAAAATTCTACATTGCATGTGTGACTATATACCAAAGCTGGGTTATGAAGAATACCAAAAGGATTATATACGTAGAGCGTTATTCACTGCTGTGAAAAATGGCATTGTTGAGTTTGTTACTGAGGTGGTTAAAGCTTGTCCTTACACAATGCGTAGTACATATGACAATTCAAGAACCCTTTTTATGTCCTCAATTGCATACCGGCAAGAAAAAGTGTTCAGCCTTTTCTATGGACTTGAAGCAAGCAGAGAAGGATTTGTTTCCCTCGCAGATCGGTCAGGAAATACAATGTTGCATTTGGCAGCAAAATTATCGCCTTCTTCTCAACTAGCTCGGATCTCTGGTGCACCTCTTCAGATGCAAAGAGAACTGCAATGGTATAAGGTGAACTTTTTGAACTTAACAACTTTTCTTTTTTTTTTGAAAAAATTGATTGAGCCTTAATAAACTATATATCTGTCCGACATAATTTATTTGAATTGACAAGTCTCCTATGTACACGTTTTTTCATTGTTATTGTCAAGATCAATATATTGGCGTTACTTGATCTAAGCAATTCCAAATAAATTTAAAGAGATCTACAGCTACTACATTATATATATATATATAAGTTGGGATCAACTAGCTTCAGCAATAAATCATATTGACTTAACAAGATATAATAACCATAAATGCTCTATGCCATATAACATCAATCTTTTTTTTTTTTTTAATTTAACTCGCATCTTAGTAATTCAATCTTAATGCAGGAAGTTGAAAGCATTTCGAATCCTTCGCAAAAGAATAATCCTAATAACGAGCGTTGGAGTCCTAGGGAATTATTTACTGACGAACATAAGGAGTTGCTAGTGAAAGGAGAGAAATGGATGAAACAAGCAGCAACTTCTTGTACGGTTGTGGGTGCTCTCATCATTACAGTTATGTTTACGGCCGCATTTACTGTTCCCGGCGGTTACAATCAGGATACCGGCTTTCCAATTTTTAAAGATAAGAAAACCTTTACAATTTTTCTGGTATCGGATGCAATTTCTCTCTTTTCTTCACAAACATCAGTGTTGATGTTCTTGGGAATTCTTACGTCGCGATATGCAGAGGAAGATTTTCTTGAATCCCTGCCCAAGAAGTTAATTATTGGCCTTTCCACGCTCTTCATCTCCCTTGCAGCCATGATGGTAGCTTTTTGTGCTGCTCTAATAATTGTGTTGGATGGGAGATTGCATGTTATAATTCCAATTGTATTGCTTTCTGGTGCTCCTGTCACTCTTTTCATGTTGTTGCAATTTCCCCTCCTAGTGGAGATTTTTGTATCCACATATGGACCAGGCATCTTTAACAAGAAAATGAAACGTTGGTACTAATTATTGCAATGTAAGCAATTTTTACTTTCAATTAGGTACTCTCATCTTTTGTGTGTTTTAGCCTCATTTGCTGATTTCCTTACAGAAGCAGCTTTTTTTATACAGCATCTCCAGTTCTCATCGTTGTCATTTCTGAGGACTTCAACTGTTGCACTTGGGACTATAAATGTTGCCATGTTTAAAAGCTGTCCACAGATATCTACAGATGCAGGGGATAACAAAGACCGATACATTGATTACCGCAAAATAATCTAAAGTTGCTACAATCTTCTCCTTGGAAATTACTGATTATGAAAGGACTAAAGGGTGCTAGCCACCCAATTGAATGGCAACAAAATGTTTCCAACTAATTTTTTTCTGATCTTTGATGCTAGATAGATTATGCCATTATCACTTACGGTCCAATTTTCATGTCATGACTCAGAAAAAAAGATTGTAGTAACCCCCTAATCCCAGTTTCGAACTGAGATGAGTTGGAAAGGAGGCCAAGCCCCCAACTCCTGCAGAGTACATAACTTTAGAAGAAGAAAAAAACCAATAACTTGAGCTAAATATTGACTCCTCCAGATGAATTAATCCCTCACAAAGTTCATGTTCAAGGGATTGCTCCGAAAATCAAGAGAGGCAACAATGCAAGCGTGTAGCAACTTTAGCTCCACTCGTCTTGGTCACACCCAATTCTTTCACAACAATTACTTCAAGAATTTGATGCGAAACAAGGCCAGGTCTCCTTCAATTAGATCAAGTGTTTTCCAATGGAGGCTCTATAGACAACATTGTCTCAGACTACAGCAAGAATCTTCAGCTTTGATTTTGCATCTGCCATGATTAAAATGGGAGATATATGTTCTGGATCAGCTGGGCATGTAACTATGTAAGGAGGATTTGTAGTGTCATCAATTTTTTTTTTTTTTTTTTGCCTAGAAATTTCTTCTGTTAGAGTGTATGTTTTCTGAAATTGTTTATTCTTTCATTTTTTTTCCAAGTATAAATATTTGTTCATTGGTTATCTTACCCAATATTAATATGGAGCCTCGAGCGTGTATTCATTAGGCCTTTTGCATTTGATGGAACTTGTTGTAAAACAAAAAAAACAAAAAAAACACGTAAAAATAATAAATAAATAAATAATAATAATAATTGTAAAAGGAAGAAAACGTAGAATTTATACACCGGCTTATTTCGTGGTATGAAGCAAGGGTTTCTGGAACTTGTTGTCAAAATCCATTTTGACCATCCCATTTTTTCATTAAAAAAAGAGAGAAACTCAAAAATTCAAAAAAATAAAAATAAAAATAAAATGTTGGATAGTTTGTCTTTTGTTTCATGATTTTTAGACATTTTTATAAATTTTTAGGATTTTAATTCTTTAGAATTATTCTTCATTTTTAATTAAAAAAAGAAAAATGAAAAAAATAGGAAAGATGGTTTGAGATCTAATCGAAAATTATATGAAAAGCGAGAACTAAATGATATTCAATTAAAAATATAATTGAAAAGGGATAAACATAAAAAAAAACTTGATTGAGAATTAATCAGTATAAAATTAAAAAAAATCAAAACAATATGGATTAACCAATTTCAATTAAAAAATTAATTAAAGATAAATAATAACATATACATTGAAATTGATAAAAATAATATAAGAAAAGACTTAAATTAATTTTATATCAAATCCTAAAACATTTCTGTATAAACACCCTTTTCACTCTATTTTGAAATAGCCCTCAACAATCACTCTTCTCCACAAGAACCTGACTGAAAAAAATCTAGTCCAACACAATCTACCCCGGCAGCCTCCATCACTAAAAAAAAATACAAAAAAAAAAAAAAAAAACTAGCCTCCCTTCTCCATCAAAATCTGAGTTGAAAAAAATTGTAGGAGACAATTATTCCCTACCCATAAACATAAACCCAGCTAAAAATATGGGAAAGTCATGCTCATGGATTTTCCTCCAAAAATTGGCAGCCGACCTTTAAACCAAAAAGGAAAAAGGGGCTTAGAAATTTTATTCATGATTGCCACAGTTCTTCCAAGCTGCAACCATCATCACCCCTGCCTCCTCTCTTCCCTCACTGTCCGAAGCCACCGCCTCCAGCCAGGCCTGCCATAGCCACCCAAGCTCCTTCAATCATCTACATCCAAAGAACCATCTCTGTCAAAGCAACCACAGCCACCACAAAGTCACGAGGATATGGCTCCTTATCTATATTCTGTCACTCCATTTGAATTTCTTTGTCAAGATAATGGCAAGTATGGATCTTATTTCCTCCAATGTGCTATTGATGCTCAAATGCTTGGTAAGAGATTTTACTCATCAATTACTTATTTCCATAATTCTCTTCTTTTTGTTGTTAGTATTTTGTCGAGTAATGCTAGGAGTGCTTGGAGTTTTTTACTGATCTAATTTTGTTCATAACTAATAGGTCTTCTCTTTCTTTAATTCCTCAAGTAAATTATTAGTAATTAATTAATTTTGATAAATTATTTGAACTAAGTTTTTTTTCTTTTCTATTAGTCCTCTTATTGTTTTTTTTTTTTTTTTTTGTTACAATTTCCTTCTTTTGTTGATGTGAGCAACGTGAGGAGTTTTTCTTTTTTCTTTTTTTCATTATTATTATTATTATTATTTTTATCATTCTAATAGTAGGTTCCTGTTGTGGGTCCTTCACACTAGATAGTTCTTGGATGGATGATGGATGATCCATAAGGACTTAAAATTCATAAGCAATTAAGTGAGACAGATTGATTTCAGATTGCTTCATAGGAAACAAATTAAATTGATTCTAAATTCATTTAGTCAACATCAATTTATTAACATTTCAAAAACAATGAAACCTTATCATTCAATGATGTTTCTTTTGAATGTGCAATATCAGATATCGCTTTTGATTTTCTGCATCTCTTTCCAAATTTGGCTACTACAATCGATGATGTTTGGAAGTCTAAGATGCCCGATATATTTCCAAGTGAAAGTCGACTTGCATTTTGGCAGCAATGGATCTATTCATGTTAGTATCTTTTCCTTCAACTTTTTATTTCCTCCTCACATTTCTCTACCTACTGCAATGATTTTTCAACTTTCATGAATATTTTTTCTGCTAGAAAAATTATTAGTTGGAAACGACGGATTGGAGAACCGGTAAATCAAAATCCGAAACGAATTGTTATTAAAAAACACTGGATTTGCATTGAAAAAAAAAAACCAAAGAATTTTTTTTTAAAGGGATTTCAACTTTAGTTTAAAGGCTCATGTAGTGTTTGATAAAACTGAAAATTAAATACTGAATCTATTAAGTACTAAATTTTAAGTGTTGAATAATTAAATACTTAATATGTTGTTGACGAGCTCTTTGATATTTAGTGAAAATTAAGTAATATACTAAGATTATTTGATAAGTACTATTGTTAAACATATGTAAGCTATATACATGACAATTTTAACTTTGTAATTGTAACATGATATTTTTAACATAAATATATATATATATATATATATATATATATATATATATGTGTGTGTGTGTGTGTGTGTGTGTGTGTTTGTGTGTATAAATAAATAAATAAAAATGATTATTAATAAAAAAAATTAAATATGGTCTAAAATAACATTAATTATCGTATCATGTACAAAATAAATAAAATCTCAAATATTAATAAATTTATTTTATAATTTAATTTGATAAATTAATTATAAATATTTGATTAGCTGATGCTTGCGCTCCTCACGTCGGGAAGCAATGTATATGGACAGCTGGGGAGGGCGAACCATGAAATAGGATTGTTTCCTGTTGATAAAAGCTTCCCACAGTCGGCTACAGCATCAGGCCTTGGCCATCCTTCGGCAATTTGCCAAGTTAAATCAGCAGAGGGTAAAGGTGATGTCATGCCACAAGTATTGTTTCGTGGGGATGGAATCAGAGTTCCCAGTTAGTAAGGCCAGGGGCCGAGAATGTTCCAATGTTCCAATGGAGGTTGAGGCAATGCAGGGGAAACTCGTATTTGAGGGCGTGGATTTGGGGCTGTGGTAGGGACGGCAAGCTTGGGTTAGGGAGCTCTTGTGATGAAGCTGAACCGATTATGCTCGACAGTCTAGAAGGTTGTGAAGTTTTGCAAGCAGTCTCAAGCTTTGATCATAACTTAATCTTGATCAACTCTTGCTTGGAGATAATGGATAAGGTCTTCGTTGCTTCGATAATGAAGATGGTAGAAATCGTTCTTAATCGGTTTGTATAGTTAGAATTATAAGAATAAATGAACATTATATAGTCATATTTAAAAATTTTTAAAAATCTTTTAACCGAGCGTGTTAATAAAAAAATTTTAAGTTAAAAATTTTAACTTATCTAATTAAATAGATTTTGACTGAATTTAAATTTTAAATATGAAATTATTTAAATTATCAAATAAACTTTATATTAAGTATTACAATTTAATAATTTATCAAACATGCCTTTACTGTCTTCATTATTCAACTTGAGATTTCTTTTTTGTTTCATCTGTAACTAGTGACATTATTAAATGCTGTCAGTATTGAATTCGATTATTATGAGGTTTTCTATTTGTCATGTTCGTCTCTTTGATTCCGAAATTTTCTTCTAAGAAAATTCCAGGATTGAGAAAGCTAATGAACCCTTTTTTAGTGTGTTTCCATTTGGTCTTGGTCATTTATTTTTCCTTCGGATCCGAAATGGTGTAACATAACATTTGTTTTTGTCTCATTCTGATTTGTAGCTGCCATTTTTTCTTTTTTACCCAGTTCGGTTCTTATTACACAAAAGCTACCATCCTTTCTTTATTTTCATATTAGACTAATCAACAAGAAAAAAACTGCCTCTTAAATTCTATTTTGGAAAAAAAAATTCGATATTTTCCAAACGATATGTCTTTATTCATCAATTTGAGAGTAGATGAGAGCTTTTTAATGCAACTTGACATGTGACAGTGACACAATCCTGATTAAAATAATGAAAAAAATTTAATAAAAAAGTTATTCTTTAATTGACTTTCGGTAAGCCAAGAGTGCTTCAACGAGACCTAACTTTCTTTCAGCATTCAAACAAAATTTTGCTTGTCTCATTCTGATTTGTAGCCGACATTTTTTCTTTTGTTCCCATGTTGGTTCTTATTGTACAAAGGCTACCATCCTTTCTTTATTCTCATATTATTAGACTATTCAACAAATTAAGAAGAAACTGCCTCTTAAATTTTATTTGGGATAATTGCATTTGAAGTATATCAATTTTAGATCTTTTATTAATTGAGTATATATAATTTATTTTTTTTCAAATTAGTATATTAACTTTTTAAAAATATTTAATTAAATATTTTCATTCAAATTATTTTCATTTAATGACTTGACTGAAAAGATGAAATTATGTTTTGACCTCATTTTTTTTCTTCTTCATCATCACTTATCTATCTGTAAGTAGTATGATTTCTCCCTTTCTTCTTCCCCTTCTTCCTTTAGAGAAATAGGATGGCCAAACAGTTAGCCATTTATTGATGATACTCAAGGCAGATCTTTCGACCAGCAGGTCTGTTATGACAGGCATTCATGAGATGATCACTATCCAGAAACGCGACCTCATAAATAGGAAAACCTTTTTTATGTTCGCGTAATGCATAATCTTGGGTATTTCACCGTAAGAAAATTGCTAATTTGAGTCAAGGATCAATAAGAAAAGATTCGATATGCTTAGCAAAGTCTATAAAACACAAAGGCATTATTGCAATTAGATTAAAGGAGTTGCCTCTGTTCTTCCAGGTATGATAAGCTTACCAGCAAACAATTCTGCAAGAATGCAACCAGTGCTTCATAGATCCATAGTAACTCCATAGTCTGTGCCCCCAAGCAAAAACTCTGGAGGTCTGTACCACAAAGTAACCACCCGACATGTAAGAGGCTGCTTCTGAGGTGAAGAGAAAAAGGTTCCCAGTCCAAAATCAGCAATCTTGAGATTGCCATTAGAGTCAATCTGAAGATTTGAACCCTTTATATCACGGTGCAATATCCCACAGTTGTGGCAGTGTTCAAGTCCATGAAGCAGCTGTTGCATGTAACATTATTCTGCAGGAAAAAACTTCAGATAAACCTTTAATAAACAAAAAGACTTGTCTAATTGATTAGCCAAGGCAAAACATATTGTTGGTCCAAAAGCAGACTTGCTGGTTAATACTCTATAGGTATCTGTCTCAAAACATACACGGGGACATGTTTTGCCATAATATTATAAGGGACATGTTTTGCCTTGTTGCATAGACTGTAATCGCATTCTATGCTTTGCTTGTGAGATGCTTGTTATTTTGGCCCAGAATCTACTAACAGAAAAGGAAACAAAGGAGGCAGCCATCAACTATTCAGATAAGGTTGGCTTGCATCAAAACCCTGCCTCTTTTTCAGAAATAGGAAAGGGAAGAAAGGAAAGAAAGGGAAGAGGGGGAAAAAGAAAGGGGAAAATCATATTGTTTACAGACAGACGACAATGATGATGGAGGAGAAGAAAAAACGAGGCTAAAAAGTAATTTCATCTTTTCAGTTAATTACAAATCATCAAATGATGGTAATTTAGATGAAAATACTTGATTGAATATTTTTAAAAAGCTGATATACTAAATTAAAAAAAAATAAGTTGTATATTCTCAATATATAAAAGGCCCAAAGTTTATATACTTCAAATACAATTATCTCAATTTTATTTTGAAAAAAACCGACATTTTCCTATGGATGTGTTTTTATTTAGCAATTTGAGAGTAGATTAGACATATTTAATGCAACTTGAGAGGTGACAGTGACACCAACATGATTATTTTATAAACAACAATATTTGAATTAATTGTTCTTATTAGATTGGCATGGCCCCTGACTGAAATCAAATCAAGATGACCATAATTACTTTATTTTCCGTACTCATTTTGGTGCCTTTTGCTATTTTTTGCTTTTCAAACTTATTTTATATTTATTTCCGTCCTCGCTCTAAATTAGAAGATGTGCCGAATTGCAGAAAAGAAAATTCTTCAGAAAAACTTCAGAACATAGCTTGTGTAAAAATTTAGAGCTACTGAGTGTGTGTTTTATTTTTTTCAGGAGGCTTCTAAGTGTTTTTTTTGACGGTTTAGAAGGAACGTTTTGAAGTAAATCTAAGTGTGTAGGTCTTAATTTTAGAGAAGCTATGCATATATATCAGCTGAAAGGATGGCTGGCAGCAGCAGCACGCATGATCAAGCGGAATAGTTTCTTTATTTTTAATGAATGCCAACCATATTTGAGTCCGTACAAACATCTCTTTTATTTTTAATGAATGCCAACTATATTTGTCTCACTCAGTCTCTTACCGCAGTTGTCTTTCCTAAATTATAAGTTAGTTTCTTTAGTTTTCAAAAATGAATTCAATAATTTTTTTTAGTTTTAAGAACTAATTAATTATTCTCAATAATTAATACGAGTGAGATTTATTTTACATGTATGAATTAAAAACTTTTTATGTCAATAAATTCCAATCATACTAGCCTATTTGCAAGAACAACATTCACCAAGCCACAAACCGCAATCTGTTGAACAAGGGTCAGAGTCATCAGGAAAATTTAATATCTATATTTAATTAGCTTAAAGACTTATTAAGATTTATTATTAATTTTGACTAAAAGTTATAAGATTGTTTGCAAAGTTATAAAAATCACGAGATAAGAAAAAATTGCTTGGGGCATTCTTTGGAGTCAAATAAATAGGTAATTTCTACGATTTTATATTAATATATAAATATTTTATTACATTTCAATGCATATACATATTTCCATTTTTCTTTAAGAAAAAAGAAGAAAAAGCTATTGAAATTTAACCAATGTATATAGTATATTAAAAAATTGACTTAATTTTAAAATCATGACGGGTATATACATGCAACCAATTATTGCAACTGATGATGTTCGTATTTATGTACCTGATCAGAGTCAAAGTGAGTCGAAAAACATTATCCTCACAGAATCAGAATCCTACTCTAAAGAAAATCCACCATTCCTCACAGAAAAATCCAAAATCCAAACTTTTGTAGACAATTGAGACACGATAAATATGGAACCAACAGAGATGTTTCCTTGCAAAACTTTGGTAAAGAAACAAAAAAAAAACTGAAATCAATTAAACAAGTCTAAATTTCATATATAGATTCATCATATATATACACATACATACTCACATATTTAAATCCATGTATTCCAAATAAAATTGAATATATGTATGTATTAAAAGATAATAAAATTTTCTTCAATGATTCAACATGAATTAATTGGCCTATACATTAATTATTTTTCCAACATATGTATGATGAAGCGGTTTTCAACCACTGCACTAACAATATTGTTAGGAAGTTTGGCCTTTTTTTTTTTTTTTTAACTTCACACTTTCTTCTTAATTATTAGGAAGTTTGATCCATATAATTATCTTGTTATAACTAGTACGTCTTTTGATCTAAACAAATTACCTAATAATTTAATGTGAAACCAAATTACTAAATTTTTAGACCTAGTGTGATTTTAGGTATAATACCAATACAATTTTTTTCCCCACTCAGTGCACATGTCCAGCATTTTCAAACCCAAGTTAGGTGCACGGTTTATTAATTGGAAAATTCCCTCTAAAGGGAAAGGAAGAAGCAACTCGATCAATATTAAAGAAAAGCCACTTGCTATCTATTTTAGCTTTAAGGTCAACATTTTGAAAATCAAAGGCCCAACGAAATAGTTTTTTCCCCACTCAATGAACATGTCCAGCATTTTCAAACCCAAGTTAGGCGCACGGTTTGATTCTTGGAAAATTCCCTTCAAAAGGACAAGGAAAACCAACTCGATCAATATTAAAGAAAAGCTACTTGGTATACTTTTAGGCAAGCATTAAAAAAAAATCTTAATTCAAAAAATTAAACTAATATTTTGTACTTAATTTTTTTTAAATTTAATCAGAAAGAATAAGACTACTTACTAGTGATATTGTCGTTTAATAATTAAATCTCTGGTTCTTGGATTTATATAAACTCCTTAACAAGCATTAAGCAGCATAGCAGAAACATACTCTCACTGGAATTTTTGCCGTCCCCTGGCTTCTCTGCAGTAATCTTGTCTGCTTGCGAGACTGAAATACACACATATTCTAACATGGCAACAAATATTGCTCCAACCGCAATTGTTGTCGAAGTCCTAAGAGATGATAACTATGATGATTGGAGTGCCTGCATGAAAAGCTATATGTTAGCTCAAGACCTTTTGGATTTTATTGAACCTACTGATCATCAAGAAGGTGATCAAGAAGTTGACTCCAGAGCGTTGAGGAAAAAGAATGCTGCTGCTCTACATGCAATTCAGATTTCTTGTGCACCACACATACTTTCCGAGATTAGGGACATTACTTCAGCCAAAAGTGCCTGGGATACTCTAGCCAATTTGCCAAAAAAACATTCACCAAGCCAAAAAGAGCAATCTGTTGAAGAAGGGTCAGATTCATCAGGAGATGGATCTCAGTCGACAAGAGAACAAGGGTCAGAGTCATTAGGAGATGGATCTCAGTCGAAAAGAGATGAGTCAGAAGCTCCTGACCAGGAGAATGGAGGTATGCCATGTCTCATTCTCTTCATTTCTTAGATCTCAAATCACTTCAATTTCATGTTAACACAGGAGAGAATAAATACCTTGGCAGGAGTCGCGAGCAGAGAAATTAATGGTCCCTTGCAAGCCCTGTACAAGTACGCTCATAAAGGAGATTGGGATGAGACAAGAAACTATCTTAGCCAATATCCAGATGCTAAAACCGTCAAGATTAAACCCTATGGTGAAACTGCCCTTCATGTAGCAGCTTGTGCTGGAAATTTGAAAATTGTGGAGGAATTGGTGAAGTTGATGTCAGAAGAGGAATTGGAAATACAAGATAATCTAGGCAGAACAGCTCTTTGTAGTGCTGCTATTGTTGGAATAACAGAGATGGCAGAGTGTTTGGTGAGGAAGAACAAAAACTTGCTTACCATTGTAGATAACCGTAAAAGGTTCCCACTTCTTGAGGCATGCGTAAGAAATCATAAGGACATGACTCTTTATCTATACTCTGTCACTCCCTTCGAATTTCTTTGTCAAGATAATAATGGCAAGTATGGATCTTTTTTCCTCCAACAAGCTATTGGTTCTCAAATGCTTGGTAAGAGATTTTACTCGTTAATTACTTATTTCCGTAATTCTCTTCTTCTTTTTGTTGTTAGTATTTTGTTGAGTAATGTTAGGAGTGCTTGGAGCTTTTTACTGATCTAATTTTGTTCATAAATCATAGGTCTTCTCTTTCTTTAATTCCTCGAGTAATTATTACTAATTAATTAATTCTCTTTCTTTAAGTTATATATATATATATTTTTCTATTAATCCTCTTATTGTGCTTTTTTTTCTTACAAATTCCTTCTTTTGTTGATGTCAGCAACGTGAGGAATTTTTCTTTTCTTTATTTTTTATAATTCTAATAGTAGGTTCCTGTTATGGGTCCTCCACACTAGCTAGTTCTTGGATGCATGGAGGACTAAACAAATTTTTTTATAGGAAAGATTTCACTAGATGATCCATAAGGACTTAAAATTCATAAGCAATTAAGTGAGAGAGATTGACATAAGATTGCTTCATAGGAAACAAAATGAATTCTAAATGTCGCTTATCATTTCAGGTTGCTTCATTCAATGATATGTTTCTTTTGAATGTTGTAATATCAGATATCGCTTTTGATTTTCTACGTCGCTTCCCAAACATGACTACTGCGGTGGATGATGATTTTTTAGAGTATAATGCTTTGGTGTATTTGTCTCATATACCTGAAATATTTCCAAGTGGAAATCGACTTGCATTTTGGCAACAATGGATCTATTCATGTTAGTATCTCTTCCTTCAACTTTTAATTTCCTTCTCACATTTCTCTACTTAATTCAATGATTTTCTACTTCCATTAATTCTTTTCTTCTAGAAAAATTATTAGCTGAACCTTGTTAATTATGAAACATATTCAGGATAAGGTGAATCCGAAGGATTGGAGAACAAAGACTAGATTTGTATTGAATTAAAAGAAAATTCTCTCTCTTTTTTTTTTTTTCCTTTTTGAAATTACAACTTTCAGTTTAAAGACTTAAGATTTAGTATTAATTTTGACTAAAAATTAGCAGATTGTTTGCAATATTATACGAATCAAGAGATAAGGAAATTGCTTGTGGCATTAATGGTTTGAGTCAAATATGTATTTTCCGCAATTTTATCTTAATAAATATTTTATTATTTTTCATTGCATATACACATTTCCATCGATCTTAAAAAAAGAAAGCCATAGAAAAGTTACTAGTATATTGTAAATTAAAATTGACTTAATTTTAATATCATGATGACAGGTATACCCATGCAACCAATTGTTACAACTGATGATTTTCGTATTTATATATCTCCTCATCAGAGCCAAAGTGAGTCGAAGAACATTATCCTGCAAGGTATTTATATCATTCATGGTTTAGTTGTTGGAGCAATTATCATTACATTAAAAATTTAATATGTATATTAATAAGCATATGTTTAGTTTTTCTAATTAGTTTTTGTTCAACTTTTCAGTGTTAAGTCAATTGCGTGGGTTTGCTAAAAATCTCCTTACCTTCTTCGGTACAAGCTATATCCGCTTATTTATTTCTATCATCATTAATTATATATCGATCATGCATGGGTTTTATATGATCTCTCTTTAATTATTGATATATATATATAGGAATCAAGCAAATATACGATTTAAAGAACATCCACTTTTATTCCGAAAAAATTCTACATTATATGTGTGATTACATATCAACTCTGGATTTTGAAGAACACGACAACACTGATGTAACAAGAGCGTTCTTCATTGCTGTAAAAAATGGCATTGTTGAGTTTGTTATTGAGGTGGTGAAAGCTTGTCCTTACATAATGCTTAGTGCAAGTGACAATTTAAGAGGCATATTTTTGTCCTCAATTGCATATCGGCAAGAAAAAGTGTTCAGCCTTTTCTATGGACTTGAAGCAAGAAGAGGAGAATTTGTTTCCCACGTAGATAGCTCACAAAATACAATGCTGCATTTGGCAGCAAAATTATCACCTTCTTCTCAACTAGCTCGGATCTCCGGTGCAGCTCTTAAGATGCAAAGAGAATTACAATGGTATAAGGTAAAATTTCCAAACTTAACATCTTTTTCTTTTTTTGAAAAATTAATTGACCCTTAATAAACTATACACATTTAGGATCTGTTGCTATCCGACATCCGATGAGACTCTCAAAAAATTAAATTCTAAAGTGTTAATTGTTATTTACGAAATTATTTACAGAGTTTAGAGTCGCCACCTAGTATTGAAGGAACTAGGAACCTAAAATAGACATTGGTTCGGAGATTCTATGATAAGGAGTTAATTACAAAGATATTTAATCATCCATAAAGTGTCCTTTTCAAAAAAAGGTACCATGTATGGTTTAGTTTTAAATTCATCTCCTAAAATGTTTTATTTATACCAAATTGTTTTCTCGATTTTTAAACTCCTATTTTTTTAAAGATAAATTGAATTTTTTAGTTTTGAGCGTGGCATCATATTGAAACGATTATCGGTTCCCTTCGTAGAGTGACAATTCGGTTTAAACATCGGATCCACTTTAAGCTTTGACACAACCAATGTGTCAAAGGACATATTGATTAAACAATGATTTTTGGTGAAGCCGGTCCCTATCGGATAGGAGACTTCGTAAAAAATTTTAGATATTTATTGGTGACGTCGGTCCTTATAAAATAGGAGACTTCGTCGAAATTTTTAGATTTTTTTAGTGACGTCAATCTCTATCGGATAAGAGATTTCGTTGAAAATTTAGATTTTTTATTTTTTTAATTTTATCTAACAACACATAAAAAAAAGAGAGACATTAAATTAGAAATTCTAAATTGTTATAAGAAAAAGCGATAAGGATCAAAAATAACCAAGCTAAAAAAAAGATAAATAAATAAATAAAATCAAAAAAAGAAATAACCTTAGAATATTAACCCATAACTTATTTCTCTCCTACCCAATCCCATTTTCCTTTTTCTTTCTTATTTTTTTCTTCCCTAATTCTATTTTTTTTCCTTTTTTTTCTATCACCTTTTTTATTTTTTATTTTTTTTGGGAGAAGCTGGAAGTGTGCTTTTTTTCCTTTTTTTTTTTTTTTTTTTTTTTTTGTGAGAAAGCTGGGCTAATTCCATCCCTTCTCTCATTTTTTTTTTACTAAGAGAAAAGGTCCAGCCCCTTTTGTTTCTTTTTTTTTTTTTTGTGTGTGCAATGGGCTGAAATCAGTCCAGCCCTTGTTTTTTACTATGCTGGGCTATAAACCAAAAAGCAGGTCCATTTCCTTCGTTGTTTGGATCAAAACACCGATTTTAAACTTCTGATCCTTTCTCTCTCTTGTTCATCGAGTCCTTAACTTCCTCCCTCTACTTTTTCAGTTTTTTTGTTTTTAATCAAACCCTCGTTTTAAAGCAAAAGTTAATTGAATTAATTGCACTTTCCCTATCTTGACCGAAATTAACATTCAACACGAGTTGAAATAAAAAACGCAAATAATAACAAGAATTTTAAACAGTAGTAATGGAAACAGGAGAAATAAAAAAAAAAACAAGAAAAAGGAGAAAGAAACTGACTTGAAGTTTCTGAAAGAGAAACGATTGATTGTGCTTTGATAAATGAGAGGATGAAAAACGAACTACAAGGATGATCCGTAGATGATGAGAACTCCCCATTGGTGTTGATTGTTTGGGATGATAATTAAAATCCGAAAATGAAAACCCAGAACTATGAAGAACAGGTTCAACTCTGCCCAGAAAATGAAGAACAAATGCCCAGAATCTTCAAAGAGAAAACCCGATAATTGAAGAACTTGAGCCCAAATTTTAAGAAGTAGGATTTAGAGACACTCGAGGGTGAAAAATCAACCTCGAAAAACACCAAACAAAGGACTAAAAGAGATTGCTAGCCGATGAACTAAAACTCAGAACCCCAAGAACACCAAGAACACAAACCCAGAAACCCAGCAACTGCCACCCCTAATTTTCGAATCTTTTGCTCTTGGTTTTCACTCTCTCTCAACTCAGAATTCCTCCTCCTCCTTTTTTTCCTTCGAATTCTTACCTCTTTTATAGGCATTGTTAATTCAAGTTTTACTCCAACTCAAGTACCTAAAAAATCGAAAGCTATCCAATTAAAACTCAAACTCATGTTATTAATCTGTGAATTTGGTTAGCTAAATAACTGGGATAGATCGACTTAAAAAACAACCCAATTAGCTGAGGATTCAGATACATTTCTGAATGGTTTGAGAAAGAACTTCGGGTTGGGTCGTTCACTCACGTTCAGTCCTGTCGTTTGCTCCAATCTTCTATTTTGGTCCCCACAAGTCTCAATTCTCTAAAATCATGCTCATTTATACGTAATTTCAATCATGCAAATAACAATTTTTCTCAATTGGGTCCCTTGATGAAAGTTTTGTATTTTCTACCCATTTCCTTTTTATTATTATTATTATTATTATTATTATTTTCCTGTATATATATATATTTTTTGGTAGTAAACTTCAATGTAAAAAATAAAAACAAATATAAATAAAATTAAACAAATAAAATAAAAAAAAAGAGTAAATTTTGGGTTATTACAAGGACAAATACACAATTTATTTGAATTTACGAGTCTCCTATGTATAAGTTTTTTCATTGTTATCGTCAAGATCAGTATATTGGCGTTACTTGATCTAGTCAATTCCAAATAAATTTAAAGAGATACTATATTGACTTAACAAGAAATTTTCAATAACCATAAATGCTCTATGCCATATAAGATCAATCTTTTTTTTTAATTTCACTCACATCTTAATAATTCAAACATTTCAATGCAGGAAGTTGAAAGCATTTCGAATCCTGCGTTTAAGAATAATTCTAATAACGATTATCAGAGTGCCAGGGAATTATTTACCATTGAGCATGAGGAGTTGCTAGTGAAAGGAGAGAAATGGATGAAACAAGCAGCAACTTCTTGTACAGTTGTGGGTGCTCTCATCATTACAGTTATGTTTACGGCTGCATTTACTGTTCCCGGCGGCTACAATCAGGATACCGGCTATCCGATTTTTAAAGATAAGAAAACCTTTACAGTTTTTCTGGTATCAGATGCAATTTCTCTCTTTTCCTCATCAACATCAGTGTTGATGTTCTTGGGAATTCTTACGTCGCGATATGCAGAGGAAGATTTTCTTGAATCCCTGCCCAAGAAGTTAGTTATTGGCCTTT